GAGAGAGAGAGAGGAGAGAGAGAGAGAGAGAGAGAGAGAGAGAGAGAGAGAGAGAGAGAGAGAGAGAGAGGAGGAACCGCTGCTCGAGACACCCGAGTCGGCGCGATGCCGCGAGCTCCCGATCCAGACAAATGCTGGCCCGGCCGCCGTAGCGCGGCGGCCATCACTCCCGGCGCATCTCCGCCTTTACGGCCATATTTTATGGCCGAGCACATCGCGCATTACACGGCTGCGACGGTCCATTTACCGCGTGCAACAAAATCAATGCGGTGCGCACCAGCCACCGATTTTGGCAGAAGATGACAATGAAACCGTCGGAGGGAAGATTCGAGTTTCCTCCGATAGATGGCAGTGCTTTCAGGACAATAAACACGAGAGGCGGCACGATACGTGATGGCAAGAGCTGCAGGAGGCCTGTTACATTTCGAAAGCTTCGGAACAATGCACACACGTCGAATCATCTATCTTTCCTGTGCATAAAGAGTGCGTTTGCTAAAATCGCACCGTCCATATGACCGTCAGCCGCTGCTGAGAGAGAGTGGTCAGTCGATTTCGGTTTGGAGATGCGACTGACCACCCATGGTTACGCTGTCACCACTTTCCGTAACGCTTCCGGTCTCCGTCAAATGACTACTACAAGCCAAACAAAGCTGCGCAGACTGGAGCATAGGCATAATGACGGGACGATTTCCGCAGCCAGCCATACCAGATGCCCACGCCAATTTCCAACCGTCGCGGTTTTATGGGGCCGCACTTATTGGTAACTACACTTCAGCGTTATAATGCATGCAGAAACCAAGGACTGGTTCTTTGCAACGTGTTTATATTGGTGTTAAATGTTGTGTTAACACACAGTTAGACTGATGCCTCGGAGTACAAATGGGTTAAACAGTCCGCTACTGCGGACGATTCAGTTATATGTGCCGGCGACCATCGCCTTGGCACCAATTTGAGCACATCAAATCCGCTGCCGCGGCGATACCGGACATTCTAGCTGCATTATCGCCCAGCGACATGCAACGCACTGCTCCACCGGAGCATTTCGTAATCGGCGCGAGGCTCTGTCCACGGACACCATTCAGCCATAATCCGGTGGTGGATACAGACATCGCCCGGCAATGGCTCAGCCAAGGCCGGCAAGCGCCTCCGACAACCTCACCCCATTTCGGAGTGACGTGTCTTACAGGTAATGCATTATCCGTCGGCGCGTGCGAACAGGGAATATCGTGGAACGGCAGGAACGACAGCAACAATTGTCGGCACCAAACGATTTCGACTGACGCAAACCGAGCGTTTGACGTCATTCGACATAACGTTGGAAATCGAAGTCAGCGATCGCCTGACCAGCGCGAACACCGCGCCACTAGCAACCACGCTGCGCTCTCATGATGAGACGGTAAATCAACGGGTATACTCAGGATCAGCTAACTAACGTTTAACGACTGAATAGTTAAGACGAGACAGTTGACGACCGATGCACACCTGTTTGGACGCTTCATATTGTTGAAAGCGCACACAAAGATTGGACATAGATGGGTTCACCGTTTTCACAAGAACTGCGGTGCGGCAACACATCGCGGAGCCTAATCCTCCCACCAACCGCTCTGATAATCCCCGGAGAGGCGCTAACGCCGATAGCGGGCCAATAAATATTTACTCCTGTAGGTGGACTTTCGCACTCAGGGCTCACATCGGTGGGTGTTTCGTCTCTTCGTGTTACAGGCACTGCAACGTATCGTAATGCAAGAGTGCATCATACGAATGCGTCTAAAACCACAGTGCAAAGGTGGCGAGACATGCTGGATAACCAGAAGACTCTCCAATTTGAATTTCTTTTCGGTCCATTTTTGTTTACTTGAATATAGTACATGTAGTAGCTTTATAAGAGGGTACATGCACTTGGTGTCCTCCCCTCCAATATAACACAGAGCAGCAAGCCCCACTATGAGAAGGCCCTACTTTGTCCTTGATATCCTCAGAGAATCCTGCCCCCCAACTCGAAATCTGTGGTGCTGCCCCTGGTGTGATCCTCAATAAAACATGATCAAGAAGGAAGAAAACTAAAGAGCCCAAAATTTCAGACTCCATTTAAGCAAGACATGCTCAAGGCCAAAGGTACCATGTCAAGCCACGTGCATTATTACGTGCATCGACCGTTTCACCTGCTGGGTGGAAGCCATCCCTGTGGTGGACATCCGGGCGGTCACGATCGCCCACGCCTTCGTCGCCGGCTGGGTGGCTCGGTTTGAAGTGCCGGCACAGGTCACCACTGACCGCGGCGCCCAGCTCAAGTCCGGCCTGTGGCAGCACCTGTTGGCGCTTCTTGGCTGCGCTAGGCATCGCACCACCAGCTACCACCCGCACGGTAACGGCATGGTGGGGAGGTTCCACCGACAGCTGAACACAGCTCTGCGGGCGGCAGATGCGGCCACTCGTTGGATCGGTCTCCTACCACTGGTTTTGCTAGGCGTGCGTTCAGCTCTAAAAGAGGACCTGGGTTGCACGTCTGCGGAGCTCGTGTACGGTACGACACTCCGGCTCCCAGGGGAGTTCCTCAGTCACCAACCCTGCAAGGTACCGCTGGACCCGGCGTCGTACGTCGACCTCCTCCGGCAAGCCATGCGGCAACTTCGCTCGGTGCAGCCACGCCAGCAGCCATCGACGAACGCTTTCATTCCCGAAGAACTCTCGGACTGCGCTCAGGTTGTCGTCCGGAGAGACGCCTCACCCACACCGCTAGAGCCGCCCTACGACAGCCCATTCCACGTGTGCAGGCGGTCATCGAAAACAGTGACCATCCGGCGCAAGGACAAAGAGGAAGTTGTCTCTGTCGACCGCATCAAGCCAGCTTTTCTGGATCCACTACCGATCTACGAGAGCTCGCCGGGTCAGCTTGCAGCCGCCGGGCCAGCTCGCCCGTCGGCTGCAAACGCAGTTCCTGTAGATGGCCTGAAGGCTGCTGCTGCTCCGTCGCCAGAGCGGCAAACTCAAGACGCTACCCATCGCGTGCCTACGCGGGGCGAGATGCGTCCGGATCTCCTTGGACGCCAGTCGCCGCCGCGCAATGATCCCCAGTGCTCCCCGCCAAATGAGGACGGTACTGAGCACCCAGCCCGTTCGGCCGTCCGTACGCGCTATGGCCGCGAAGTGGTTCCCCCAGTGCGTTACGGCGTTCGATATGTCACCCTCCGATTGTGATATGTCTGGGGAGGGGATGGTGTAGCGGCACGGGGTCAACACCTCGTCCCATGGGTCGCCAATAGGTGGCGATAACGAGTGTTGTTGTGTGTGTGACATTGTGCGTCGTGTGAGAACTGTGTGTCTCCATAGCTTTGCTGCACCGTTAATGTTGCGTAGTGATATGAGTGATATGCCTACCACAGAACGGTTGCTAGTATAGCTGTTGTTTAGCCGCTAATGGCACATTGACTACCATAACTAGGCAGATGTTTGCTGCTGTCAAGTGATGAAGTCGAACCGAGCCACATCGATCATATATTGTGTGCAACATGACGGCGCATTATCCTTTACTCTTCATGATCCGACCCTCTCTGGACGCGTTTCCCTGTCTGTCAGTCCGGACCGGCATCACCTCGATGCCGGCACCGATGTTTCAAACCGGCCCAGCACGGCCAACGCAGCAGTGCCAGCTCCGGCCACTCGGCCTCAACCAGCCGGTAGACAGCCCCAGTCCTGAGGTGTGGGTGATTACGCTTGTGTCGCACTGTGCGGGGGCTAGGATTGTCAACTGAAGAAAGCAAAGGGCAACTTCTGCCATCTTTTCTCTTTCATCACTGAAGACAGTGACATGCATGATGGTATTACCAAAAAATAAGCTTCAACAATAAGTAGCATATCTGGCCTAAGATGGTGCTCCTGTCTAGCCTACAAATTACGCATACAGGCTGGAGAATCAATTTGAATGCTTCACTCCATCATAATTGCCGACAAACCAACAGCCACCAAAAATGTTTTCCCAGCAAGTTTGGTCAGCTCACCTCCACAGATAGTAATAACAATGTTTGGTCAATGCACTATTTGTGAAATGACCATTCACCTGATCAGGATAGTCATGGATATCAACTATGGACATAAGAATGGGCACATTGTGATGTACCAATGTTTTCCTTAATTCATGCAACATTTCATACCAAACTGATGCACAAACCAACAGTAGCACCACATGAAAATTTGAAGGGCTGAAGCCTTCACAAAAGTATTAAGTGACATCCTCATACCCATGCCTGACTAATGAGACCCATTTCACCATGCTTCAAAAATTAGATAAAAAACAATAATTTGAAACTTTGCAAAAGGGTTTTATCGACGTAAAAGGAGATCCAATCACACCATGGAAGCGCAGCTAACTGCACGTATTAAATCCAGCTGCACAAAGCGCATACCTTGGCCCAAACGATGTGATTGCCGGCCTAAGCTATCAATGGCATACGCCCCACAATGTGGACGGTTTACTTACCAACATCGGCTCTTTCACCAGCTCCGGCCCAAATCTAGATGAGTGAAAAGTCAGGCAATCTAAAGATCACTCCTCTTTCGCGAAAATGCATTCATGAGTGGTCGACACAGCCACCCAAAATTACATCACGCAATAAATGAAACAGCTTACAACCTTAAAACCCCACACCACCGGAATTGCCTGAAAGTAATAGAGAAGATAAGCTTTTAGGGCACCAAAAGATCCAATGCTCTGGTCGATTTCTTCTTTATTGCAGTGTATATAGACATCAGCAGATTTATAATTTGTCTTCATACCAGAGATAATAATAATTTATTCACAACTGATTGAAAATTTAAAAGAAAAGATGGTTTAACTAGTTCAAGCATTGGCAGAAACTGACGAAAGCAATAATATTCGTCAGCTTCTTGCTCTATTTATCAGCTGTTGACGAGAAAATACTAAACACATGAATGGCGCAAATCATGCAACTACAGCGCACGCCAGGCTTGGTCATTGTGGATTTGCGTTTGAAGAACTGGAGTTTTCAGCAGCGTCGTCGCGGGTTTTCTGCGCCCGATGTCCGATCTGCCATTACCCTGAGATTGGTGACGGCAGCTTGTGTTAGGACTGTGGCTGGTTTCTTCCTGGTGCTGGCCACTTGACTCTGATTATTTTATTACAACAGAAAATATGCTTTACTGAGAACAGGTGCTATCACCGGTAATTTTTTACTTTGGTACCTGTATGGCCGACGGAGGGAAGAGCTACGCTAGCTGCAGGGTTTCGAGTATTGTCGTCCGGGGGAAAAGCTGTGAGGCATCGGCTGACATTGTGACGTCACTGAAAATGGTTTTGCATCGATCGGGATGGGGGTCCTTTCGGGCCGACTGAAGGCCATAAGGCTTTTGAATGTGACATGATGTCACTGGTATTCGGCTGGGTATGTGACGTCACGGGTCGTGAGTTTGTAAGGCTCTTTTGGGTCCACCGAATGCCGTAATGCATCAGCTGGCCATGTGTCGTCACTGGTATTCGATTAAACATCAGGCGCGACCGGCCTCGTTCCATCTTTACTTTTCGTACCTGACTGCTGCAAGCATTTGCGTGCCGCATAAAGGTTTGACCGAATCACCTCAATGTGTGACGTCCCTAATCATCACTTCATACGGGTGCACTTAGGCCCCACGACCACGGTGTGTCATGGTCTACGAAGTATCACCGGATAGCGTGACGTCACTGGTATTCGAATAAATACTGAGCGCAACAGGCCGTGCTTTATTTTTACCTTTGTACCTGACTACTGCAAGCATTGGCGTGCTGGATGAAAGCTGCCGAACCACCTGAGTGTGTGACGTCACTGGTCACGAGTTTCACCGGTGCTTTTCGGCCAACTGAAGACCACAAGGTGTCAGTTAACGACGTCACTGCTATACGACCGATTGTAAGACGTCAATGGTCGTGGGTTTCCACGTGTCCTCTAGGACCGACGAAATGCCGTAAGGCATCAGCTGGCGATATGACGTCACTGGTATTTGGCTGAACATCAGCCAACAGGTCATGCTCCATTTATACCTTTCGTACATGTCTGCTGCAAGTATTGGCGGATTTTTTGCGGCCAACTGAAGGCCATAAAGCATCAGCTAGCGATGTGACGTCACTGGCATTCGACCGTGCGTGTCGCTGGTCATGAGATTTTACGGCCTCTTTTGGGCCGACGAAAGGTCATACGGCACTGACTGACGATGTGACGTCACTGGTATTCGAATGAACTTCGGGCGCGACAGGCCATGTTCCACCTTTATCTTTGGTACCTGTCCATTGCAAGCATTGCCGTGGAAGGCTCTGCCAAATTACCTGAGTGTGTACGTCACTGACCATTAATTTGTATACTCTTCTGAACCTACTATAGGCCACAAGGCATCAGCTGACGATATGATGACACTAGGTCTCGACTAGACATCATGCGCAACAGGCCATGCTCTATCTAAGCCATGTTTCGTCTGTACCTTTCGCACCTATCTACTGCAAGTATTCGCGCGACACATAGGGGCTCTGCCGAATTACCTGAGCGTGTGGTGTAACTAGTCATGAGTTTACGCGGGTTTACTCTGGCTGACCGAAGGACATCAAGCATCAGCTGACGATATGACGTCACTGGTATTCGACTATACTCCAGGCGCGACAGGCCATGTTCCATCTTTACCTTTCGTACCTGTCTCTTGGAAGTATTGGCGTGCTGAATGAAGGCTCTGTCGAGTCTCCTGAGTAAGTAGCGTCACTGGTCAAGAGCTTTTTACGGGACCTTTTGTACCCCCAAACGGTATAATGTATCAGCTGACGATATGACGTCACTGATGTCCGACTTAACATCAGGCGCGACAGGCCATGTTCTATCTTTACCTTTCGTACCCGTCTATTACAAGTACTGACGTGCTGAATGAAGGCTCTGTCGAGTCTCCTGGGTGTGTAACGTTACTGGTCATGAGTTTTTTCTGGCTCCTTGGAACCCTCTATAGGGAAAAATGCATCAGTTGACGACGTGATGCCAATGGTGTTTGACTTAACATGAGGCGTAACAGGTCATGTTCCATCTTTGCCTTTCGTACCTGTAAAGTATTGGTGCGTTAAATGATGGCTCTGCCGAGTCACCTGAGTGTGCGACGTCACTGGTCATGAATTTTTACGACTATTTTTGGCTGAGCGAAAGCCATAAGGCATCAGCTAACGAAATGACTTCACTGGTAGTCCACTGAGTGTGTGACGTCACTGGTCATGAGCTTTTACGGGCCTTTTTTGGCCGAGTTCAGGCATTAGGCATCAGATAACGTTATGGCGTCACTTGTATTCGAATTAACATCAATTGCAATAAGCCATGTTTCATCTTTACCTTTCGCATCTGCCTACTGCAGGTATTCGTGCGCTACAAAAAGGCTCTGTCGATTCGCCTGAGCGTGTGGTGTAACTGGTCATGAGTTTGTGCAGGTTTACTCGGGCTGACTGAAGGACATCAAGCATCAGCTGACGATATGACGTCACTGGTAATCGACTAAACTCCAGACGAATCATCTGAGTGGGTGACGTCGCTGGTCATGAGTTTATACGGATTCACTTGGGCCGCCCAAGGCCACAAAGCAACACCTCCCGTGAAGCATCACAGGATGATATGTCGTCACTGTTATTCGACTTAACATCAGGTCCAACATGCCACGTACTTTCTTTACCTTTCGTACCTGTCTATTAAAGGTATTGACGTGCTGAATAAAGGCTCCGTCGAATCTCCTGAGTTTGTGACGTCACTGGTCACGAGTTTTTATGGGCTCTTTTGAACCCATTATAGGTTGTAATGCATCGGCTGACGGCATGACGTTACTGGTGCTCGACTAAACATCAGGCGCAACAGGTCATGTTCCATATTTGCCTTTCGTACCTGGCTGCTGCAAATATTCGCGTGCTATATGAAGGCTCCGCCGAATCACCTGAGTACGTGACGTCACTGATCATCAGTTGGTAGGAGGTCACTTGGCCACCTATGGCTACGAAATTCCGCAGCAGAGGCGGGAGATGCACCATAGTTAAGCACACTAATTTTATTGTGCGCACCATTAAGTAGCAGCTTCAAACGCAACGGGCTGTTTCAACGACTAAAATTTTGAACAAACGTAAACACAAAACAAAGGTGATCCCAGCCCACAAACCGACGTATATGCAAAGCTATTCCGCCCGACATCACAGGATGCGCCCCTGAGCAGCTACGGTCCGGAAGGCCCTGATGGCTAAATAATAATCAAGGGCGCCGCCTAGCGGTCATAAGTCTGGGCCACAGCCCGAATATCAGTGACGTCATATGGTCAGGTGATGCTTGATGTCCTTCCGTCAGTCCGAGTAAGCCCGCGTAAACTCATGACCAGTTACACCACATGCTCAGGTGATTCGGCAGAGCCTTTATGTAGCGCGCGAATACTTGCAGCATAGAGGTGCGAAAGGCAAAGATGGAACATGGCCTGTTGCGCCTGAGATTAAGTCAAACACCAGTGACGTCATATCGTCAACTGATGTCTTGTACCCTATAGGTACAAAAAAGCGGCCCACAAAGGACTCATGACCAGTGACATTACACACTCAGGAGATTTCACAGAGCTTTCCTTAAGCATGTCAATGCTTACAATAGACAGGTACGGAAGATAAAGACGAACATGGCCTGTCGCGCCTGGTGTTAAGTTGAATACCAGTGACGTCACATCGCCAGATGATGCTTGATGTCCTTCAGTCAGCCCGAGTAAACCCGCGTAAACTCATAACCAGTCACACCACACGCTCAGGTGATTGGGCAGAGCCTTTATGTGGCGCGCGAATACTTGCAGTAGATAGGTGCTGAAGGTAAAGATGAAACTTGACATATTGTACCTGATGCTTAATTGAATACCAATGACGCCATATCGTTGCCTGATGCCTAATGGTCTTAAGTCGGCCGAAAAAGGCCCGGGAAAACTCATGACCAATGGCGTCACACACTTAGTGGATTACCAGTGACGACACATCGTTAGATGATGCCTTATGGCTTTCACTCGGTCAACAATAGCCTGTAAAAACTCATGACGACGCACTCAGGTGATTCGACAGAGCCATCATTAGGCTCGCCGATACTTTAACAGGTGCGAAAGGCAAAGATGGAACATGACATGTTGTGCCTGATGTTAAGTCGAACACCAGTGACATCATATCGTCAGCTGAAGCATTATACCATATAGGGGGTTGAAAAGAGCCCGTAAGAGCTCTTGACCATTGACGTCATATAACACGCGAATGCTTGCAGTAGGCAGGTACGAAAGGTAAAGATGGAACATGGCCTGTTGCGCTTGATGTTGAGTCGAATACCAGTGACGTCATATCATCCCGCGATGCTTCACAGGATATGATGCTTTGTTGCATTGGGGTGCCCAAGTGAGCCTGTATGAACTCATGACCAGCGACGTCACGCACTCAGATGGTTCGGCACCACCTCGATATAGCGCGCGAATGCTTGCAGTGAACAGGTACGAAAGGCGAAGATAGAGCATGGCCTGTTGCGCATGACATCTAGACGAAAACCGGTGACGTCATATGGTCAGCTGATGTGGTGTGGCTTACGGTAGGTTCAAAGCAGTCTATATAAATTAATGGTTAGTGACGTTACACACTCAGGTAGTTCGGCAGAGCCTTCCTTCAGCATTCAAATGCTTGCAATGGACAGGTACCAAAGGTAAAGATGAAGCATGGCCTGTCCCGCCTGAATTTTATTCGGTTACCAGTGGCGTCACATCTTCAGTTAATGTCGTATGACCTTTCGTCGGCCCAAAAGAGGCCGTAAAATCTGATCACAAGTGACATCACACACAGTCGAATGCCAGTGACGTCACATCATTAGGTCATGCTTTACGGCTCTCAGTTGGCCCCCAAAGATCCATAAAAATGCATGACCAGTGACGTCACGCACTCACGTGATTTGGTAGCTTTTATTCATCACGCCAGTGCTTGAGTAGACAGGTACGAAGGTAAAAATGAAGCATGACCTGTTGCGACCAATATTTAGTCGAATATCAGTGACGTCACGATACCTGGTGATATTTCACGGAACATGATACACCGCGGCCGTGGGGCCTAAGTGCACTCGTATCAAGTGATGATTAGTGACGTCACGCATTCAGGTGATTCGGTCAAGCTTTTATTCGACACGCAAATGCTTGCAGCAGACAGGTACGAAAGGTAAAGATGGAATAAGGCCTGTTGCGCCTGATGTTTCATTGAATGCCAGCGACGACATATCGTCAGGTGATGCTTTACGGCATTCATTACACCCAAAAGATCCCTAAAGCCTCACAACCAGTGACGTCACACATCCAGTCGAATACCAGTGACATCATATCGCTAGCAAATGCCTTGTAGCCTTCAGCTGGCCCAAAAGAACCCCCATCGATGGAAACCCATTTTCAGTGACGTCACTACGTCGGCTGATACCTGACAGCATTTCTCCATCACGGCAGTACAGGAACCCTGCAGCCAGCGTAGCTCTCCCCACCGTCGGCAATACAGGTACCCAAGTAAAAAAAAGCCCTATCACCTGAGAACCATGGAGTTCGTCATTGGGGGCTTAGGAGCCTGCTGTGCAGGCTTTTTCACCAATCCCCTAGATGTCATTAAGACAAGAATGCAGTTACAAGGAGAGTTGAAACAAGCAGGGAAATACACAGTCTACTATAGAAATGTTTTTCATGCAGCATATGCCATTGGCCACTCGGATGGTATTCTGTCTCTGCAACAAGGGCTTGTCCCTGCACTTGCATACCAAATGGTAATGAATGGTATAAGGCTAGGCACATTTCACATGCTTGAAGACTCTGGTGTTATGAGAACAAAGAATGCTGTTGATCCAGTGAAGTATGTATGTGGAGGAGCTCTTGCTGGTGCTTTGGGAACGTATGCTGCAAGTCCACTTTACATGGTAATTTTTGAGTTGGTGCCTTGTTCTATGTCTTGCACATGTTTAGCTTAATATAAATTAGGATTATTTACGGACATCTGAAAGTGTTTACTGTTCTCAATGGCTGCTCACATTACTGACATGCAGGTAGTGGTTCCATCTTGAATAGTGTGCAGTTACTCAGTTATAAAGGGTGAAATGCTGTAATTTATTTTTTAATAGCAGTCAGTGGGCAATAAGCCTTAGCTTCTGTTAGATTTGGCAGCAAATGACATTGATCATGAAGCTTTCCAAGGTGGAGATTTGGTAGCAAATGACATTGATTATGAAGCTTTTTAAGGTGCAATGGGGCCTGTCATGATTTCAAACAATTGGTTATGCATCTGATTGCAGTAAGAAGGGTAACACCAGCATTTCTATGCTCTAGATATCTACTATGTTACACTAAACAAATAGTCACTGAATATGAGGCTGAAATGCATACTTCCTGCATTACTTTCACAATATTTGTGTGCTCCAAGTCCCCTTCATGGCCTATCTGACCATTCTGTGCTGTACCAGGTGAAAGTGCACGTCCAAACACAGAGCCAGACGATCGGGGTGGGACACCAGCACCAGCATGCGGGTCTGGTGTCGGCACTGCGCGGCGTGCACGCGCGTCACGGTCTGCGTGGCCTGTGGCGCGGCAGCCTCTCCTCGCTGCCGCGCGTCATGATCGGCTCGGCAGCGCAGCTCACCACCTTCTCCGCCTCGCTCGAGTACATCGAGCGCGCCCAGGTGCGGCTGACCGTCGAACCGACCGGAGTCGGGACCCCTGCCGGCTGGGCGTCTGCGCGCCCAGCGACGGCTGGCGGGAGGGAATGTGACCCTGTTGGTGGTAGCGGTGGTGTGCGCCGAAACGTAACCCTAACGACGGCATCGTCGCGGAAGTGGGGGGGGGGGGGGGGGGACGTCGGCGTAGCGAGTGTGGATTTACAATCAACTATCCAGAGCAGGCTGGGGCGAGGATGTGGAGATGAAGCACATCCAGGCATCTCGCAGCCAGGCATACCGTCTGTGAGCTGCATGGTCGGTACAAGTCGCTGTCGATCAAACATCGCGTTTGGTGTCATACCAATGAGACAAACTCGACGGGTGGGTTTGGATCTCAGGAAACGGGACCATGGCGAGGGCACAGACTGGCGGATGACTGCTCAGCTCAGTATCCGGAATGGAAGGCAGCGATCGCCACTACACCACTGTCTTCTAGCTGTCTGAGATCGTTGCACGTGCTGTATTTCGGTGCCGTTGCGGCTCGGCGCACTCGGCTTGCGGCTGACGCTCGTTGGCGGCTCGCTGCCAGGTGCTGCCGGCGGGCAGCCTCCTCGCCAGCCTGGCCGCCAGTATGTTGTGTGGCGGCGCCGTCGTCATCCTGATGACGCCGTTCGACGTCATCGCAACCCGGCTGTACAATCAAGGTGAGTCGTTGCTGTTGCGGTTTTACGACGCGTTCGACAGTGTGGTTTATTCAGCGACGAAATCCGTCACGCTGAATTCCGCGGGAACGATGAGGTCCAGGAGTAAGGTTCGAACGCTTCACCGCACCGTTGCAACGCGAACGCTATTGAGCTACACCCGATTGAGCCACATTGTCCCCGAAACCATGATGAGTCCGCGTCGTCACTGACCAGAGCGGTCCGCGTAAGTCTCCGCCCTGTACCCGCGCCGCCCTCGCGGTGACAGCAGTGGTACCATCGCTCTAAAAAAAAAAAACGCTGCGTATAACGTCGCGTGCTTCGCTGTCCCGGGAACAGGCGTGGACGCGTCGGGCCGCGGCCTGCAGTATCGCGGCTACGGCGACTGCGTGCTCAAGATCCTACGCTCGGAGGGACCGCGCGGCTTCTACAAGGGCGTGACGGCCAACTGGCTGCGGGTCGGGCCGCACTCCGTGCTCAACATGTGCTTCTGGACCCACTTGAAGACTCTGTACCGGCGGTACGAGCGGGCGCCGACCGCAGACGGAGTCTGAGCAGTCTGTCGAGCCCGCAGTCACGGCCGGGCGCCGCGCGCGCTTAACCCCACTTCGGGATTATACTTCGGTAGCGGACCAGGGACACGGACCTGTAGGGTGTAGTGTATTTTTAGCCCTATTTTGGTGTGCTTTCGGCAGGGTAACGAATGCATTTACATTTATGTGGATTTCTTTTGTCCTCCCACTTAAGAAATTTACTTGCGAATGAAGCATGTCAGGCAATGTGTGATGAGTGTCGCAGAAGGCAAGGGTTGCCGCGTCCGCCGTCTTCTGGTGGCAGCGAGTTCGGTGCCGGCGATGGCTCGGTTGGCAGATGTGCGCTCACTGCAGGCAGCTATACGTGTGCGTTGTGTGGTATGAGGCGGTTTGCATATCATGCTCGGATGGTTGGGCCCGGATCTGCCGAGCTAGCTACACTTGTGATGGCTCGTGCAAATATCTGCCGCCTCAGTTTCATGCTAGTGATATTGGCTTTGCCGTTATGCCACCTCCGGGACATCCATCGTCGTTGTCGCCATAGGAACATATTTGGGAATGCGTATCGAAACCCTAGATGCCGCGGACGTAACTAACCGCGGATAAACGTAGATATGCCTACGCAGATGGCTAAACGTTCATATTACTCGGCGATTACGAGGAAATGTGAAGTGACCACGAAGTGAGTCACCATGGCTTCGTCAGTAGTAATTCTGCATCGAGGCTTAACCCCGCCGCGATCGACGCAAGCACGCAGCTTTTGTCGCGGATCAATAGCCGAACCTTGAAGGGAATTGATCGGGTTCCGCGTGACGCACGCACCTGCGGGCAGCTGGAAGAACAACTGAGTGACGTCCGTGTTCCCGCAGTAAACCGCGCATGGATGTGGGTCCGTCGGTCGATACTGGACCCGAAACGCGACTAATGGGGCGAGCGTCGTCCTGTCGTAGTCGTGCTGCACGCTGCTGCACATGGTGCAAAGGAATCCAGGACGAGGGTCTCGTTTACTCCAACGTCGGGAACTGATTTATGTGCAATAGTTCGTGTTGTGACGCAATACATTGTGTAACAACGTGGTATGAGCGTTGCAGTTGAACCAGTGACGTGAGAAGGTTTTGCGTTGTATCGAATCTCCACCGGCTTAGTCCACCGGCTTAGAAGCCAGATGTTTATTTTGCTTAGTTGTCTTAACTTTGACAGCCAGCTTTGTATCTGCTCTCATAAGATTAAGCATGTTTAAAGGCGTGGTGGATAATGGTTGAAAGACAAACACAAATAATGTGTACCCCAGAAGGAATCTAGAGTATATGTTGGAGCGGTGATTTCCACTTCGTTGCGGGCATATTAAGACATTCCGCATCGCGGCTACTATGCAAATTCAAAACGCTTCCAAGGAAAGCAACGCTCCACAAATCAAAGGCACGCAACGAGCGGGATCAGCGTTTTACGCCGGAATTCAAACGTCATGAATCGGATAAGGAATAACTCGGTCGCTGTGACGCTGCCTCTCCTCGCCCTCCTCCCGCAACATCCGTTCTTACCGGTCAAGTAGCGTCATGCCCAGGAAGAACACCGGGGCTCCTTTGAGCGCTCACGAACACGGCGCCGCTCGAGGCCAGCCGACAACGGTCGCGCACGACATTAGCCGGTGTCCGGTATCGAACGTTGCGCATGTGTGACGTTGCAATCACCGACATAATTGGCAAGGTCTCCAGCCGAGACGGAGATGCGGCCGCGAGCCGCTCAGGTCGATTGCGCAGTCACTCCGCCCCGGCAGCCCCCCCCCCCCCCTTCCCCTCCCAGCGACGGGGATGGTGCGCTGCTGGCATGGCACCTGCAGCGTGAATTCGTCTTTGCTGCTCGTCACGGTTAAGTTCAGATCGCTGACGGAGGGGAGTGGCATTGCCAACCACCTGCCAATCCCTCATAGGTTGCAGCCTGAGCTATGAAGACCTGTCGTTCCCGCAATGTTTCTTATCGAACGTTCCGTTTATGGACGGGCTCTGAAAAACACGGCGACCATATCACAAGTCCGATATATTACACAACACAGCGCCGGCGGCCGCGGCGTCTCCTGACGTCAGTACGGCTTTTGTTTATGCCTGCTGCGCCGATGGTGGACGGCCTTGCTCTGCCGCCTGTTGGAGCCGCTGGGCTGGGCGCCGGGCTTCCAGAGTGTGAGCACGCCGCCCTCGCCGCCGGTCACCAGGGCGCCCGTCTGCGGGGCGGTCCGGGTGTGAGGGCATGGCCAGCGGTCCAGCCACGAGACGCGGACCAGACTCCGGAGGGGAACACCCGCCTGAGACGCATACGACGCCGAGATCAGTCTGTCACACAGGCAGGGACTCCAGAGGCTCTTTTACAACCATTCCAGAGTATAAAACCGGCACGCCGACCAGACCAACCAAACAAAATGCAGCGGAGCGATGAAGCAGCGCACCATATGCACTTGACAAATCCAGCCCCGTCCTCGGTCTACCGCCTGCGGCGCCGCTTCAGGCGCTAGACTGCCCCAGGGCGGGGCAGGGTCTCACCGCGGGACAGTAGACGCTGGCGCGCACCAGCTGCGCGGGGTCCTCGCCGTCGTCCAGCAGCGCGTGCGGCTCCAATCCCGAGTCGCCCAGCCGCAGCAGGCGCAGACAGCCGTGTCTGCGGCGCACACGCGGGGGTGACGTCAGGTACACCGACGCATGGCACGCACCGCTCGGGGCGGCGGCGACCGCGGCGCGCGGACGCCACGCCGCGCACTGTGCTGGCACAGCCTGACAACGACCGACAGGGGAAGACCGAAACTTGGCCACGATGCCACGAGACGTCTGGCTGAGACTCCTGACAAGCCAGCACTGTGCAAATCTGCCAGCAGGGAAGGGTCTGCGAGCGTCAAACAGCTGACAAAGCACGTGGACGATCGCCCGACGTGTCCACAGCACGTGCGGGGGCATGCACGTCACGTATGCTTGAGAACGTCAGGCGACTGCGACCAGCTCTAGAGGCACCCCATCTAGTCCTCAAATCACACGGTACATCGCAGCGGGCATCTTCGCATCCGGATCAATCAACACACCACAACGGCACCTGGCCGTACTGTAGAGTACTTCTGGTGTCTGACAGCTACGCAAGGTGTCGCTGGTGTTGGGCCACGAGAGGGCTCACTCACCCCTCCTTTGTGACGGCGCCTGCCACAGCCAGGACGTCTCCGGACGCTGTCTGGTGACAGCCTTCAACATAACACACCTCATACATGGTCCTCTGAAAAAACAGACATGCCTGGTTACAAGAAACGTCCTGCACAGGTGATGCGTCGGCTGGTCACCACAGAAAACCCACACAGCATTCCAAACACGTGCGGCATCGCGTGAGACGGGACGCAGCTGAAATTACAACAGTGAAACCCAGGTCGCACCCAACTTTCACGAGTGTAACGTTTTTTATACCATAAACATGCATAACTGACTCTAGCAGGCGCCAATGAACCGGAATTATACCCGCCGCTGCTATTCACCCATTTACTTTGAATTCCCAAATTTCTCCTGAAATGTATCGCGTATCAGATGTTTCAGTTTCAACGCCATCTCCCATTCGTTCTGGTTCGATTTGTTTCCTTTCGGTTCCGTTCCACGCAGATCCACGTGCAATCTACCACCCACATTGCTCACGCACAGCTCAGCAATTCATAAAGACTGATCGGATCGCCCTGAGCCCAGGCAGCGGGCGAGCGCCCTCACCCGTATGGCGGCCGCGATGTCGCTCCTGCCAAACTGGCCGCGCCGCTCGCTCTCCTCGATGTCCCAGCTCTGAAGCTCCTCGGTGTCCAGCACGACGGCCAGGTGACGCCGGCCGGCCCGCTCCCACCTGGCGGGCGGCGGCGTAGGCGGTCAGGCCGCGCCCCGGCGGTCGCCGACGCCGGCCGAGTCAGGGACACAGCAGCGGCGCGCTCCCCGCCTGACACCGGCGGTCTGGCGACGCTCCAGCAAGCCTCGAGCATGATCCGCGGCACACCACCCGAGGCGCCGCAGATCCCCGACCGACGTAGTATCCGCTCCCACGTGGGCCCCACCCCTCCCCGAGTGGGACTCGGGGAGCCCACTGACCCTCCCACCACGAGCAGGGCCACTGACCCTCCCGAGCGGGACCAACGACTCTTCATCCCCAAGTGGAACCACTGACTTCCTCCTCGAGAGTGACCACCGACTCTTCCTCTTCAACCGGGACCACGGACTCTCTCTCCCCGTGCGGGACCATTGACACTTCCTCCCCGTGCAGGACCACCGACCCTCCCTCCCGAACGGGACTAATGACCCTCTCTCGAGCGGGACCGCTGACCCTCTCTCCCGAGAGGGAATACTGATCCTCTCTCCCGAGCGGGATCACTGACCCTCCCTCCCGAGCGCGAATAATGACCCTCTCTTCCGGGCGGGACCGCTGACCCTCCCTCCCGAACGGGACCACTGACCCTCTCTTTCGAGGCGAACCACTGACCCTCTCCCCCGAGCGGGACCGCTGACCCTCCCTCCCGAGCCGGATTACTGACCCTCTGTCCCGAGCGGGGCCACTGACCCTTCCTCCCCAGCGGGACCACTGACCCTCTCTCCCGAGCGGGAATACTGACCCTCTCTCCCGAGCGGGACTACTGACCCTCCCTCCCTGGGCGCGGGACCACTGACCCTCTCTCCCGAGCGGGACCACTGACCCCCTCTCCCGAGCGGGACTACTGACCCTCCCTCCCTGGGCGCGGGACCAATGACCCTCCCTCCCGAACGGGATCACTGCCCTCCCTCCCGACCGGGACTTCTGACCCTCCCTCCCGAGCGGAACCACTGACCCCCCCCCCCTCCCGACCGGGACCACTGACCCTCCCTCCCTCCCGACCGGGACCACTGACTCTCCATCCCCGAGCGGGACCACTGACCCTCCCTTCTTGGCTCCGGGAGCACTGACCAGGTAACCGAGCTGACGGACGACTCTGTGTTGAGCGTGGCCTGCAGGGCGTCATCCTCGGTCGTCTGCGTCACGTCGAACACGTTCACGTAGCCGTCCGTGGAGCCGCTGACCAGAGCGCCGCTGTCGGTCGGGTGGAACCGCACCTGCGCGCCGGGCGATGCCGGCCGTCAGTGCGCGCGACACCCAGCCACCGCAGGCTACGGACCGAAGCCGTAGGGCAGACGTAGCAGCTGACGGGTGACATCGTTACATTTCACCGATGGTTGCTAGGTTTAAAACGCTAGAACCTATGTATTCAATAGCTTGTCGTATTACCGGATTAAATGAAACAAGCGCTTCATAACTCAGCATGTTACATGACCTTGCTTGTTCAATACAACTGGGACTATCCCAACCAATTTAGCTCTGGCAAGGTACAACAGGAAAGGATGAGGGGCAAGCAGCAGCCACCCACCGTTGAGACATCGTCCGTGTGCGACTCCCAGTACCCGCCGAGCGGGTTCGGCTGGCGCACGTCCCAGAACACGAGGAAGGAATCGTCCTGCACCACCTCGGTGCCGGCGCACACGAACCGGCCGGCCGCGTTCACGTCCACGCAGGTGAGTGGCTTCGGCTTCTGCAGGGTCGCGTCTGGCGGCGGGCGGGGCGCGAGGGAGGCGTCAGCGGCCGCTCTCATCGTGGCGAGGGCGAGTCGATCGCTGACGCGGTCAGGGTGTGTGCGGTGTCAACAGGGACGGACGCGTCGGCGGCGGCCGCCCGCGGGCGCCGCCGCCGGGTCAGTCGTCAGATATCCGTTCAGAGCATCACGCCGGGGCGGGGACAGCACCTCCCGGGTGCGGGCTGGGGCTCACCAGTGTGCTGGAGGGTGGCGCGGCCGGTGCGCGTGTCCCACTGTCGAACGGTGCCGTCCAGCGAGGACGACACGACCACGGCGTCTTCGCCCGGCACGTATCTGAGAAGGGCGCCACAGTTACGCGCGTGCGGTCGTGTTATAAACCAGCAGTGGCGCGCTCTCCAAGCGGTACGAATGACTGCAATCGCCACACTGCCGTCACCGGCACGAACAGGAACGGAATAGCGCAATCCTTGTCAACCATTAACGTCACTTAATGATAAGGTTGCACATTTTCCCCTAAAAAAAGACTAGCAAGTAACTCAGAAAAAATACCCGCGATGTACCTTACAACCGTTCGTCCTTCAATGAGAACAATGCTGACCTGCACAACAATACAAAGGTTTGAGATACTCTATGCTGCGGGCGGCGAGTCAGGAAGGTCATTCACGTGACAACATTGTACACCAATCGCAGCAACAAACCTGGAACAGCGGAACATTCAGCAAACGGAGCGCGCCATCAATGTCAAAGACATACGCTCCTACCACCAGCACTCCTAACAGCGTACCCGGCCCAGGGCGAGCAGCGCCTGTGGACGCTCACCTGGCGCCGGTGATCTTGGCCGTGTGACCCCTGAGGTGGGTGATGGTCTGCAGGGTGCTCCAGTCAAACACGGCCAGAGCGTTGTCCGAGCACGCGGCCGTCAGCTGTGAATGTGACCTGCCATCGGACGGGCTTCAGTATTGACCACCGCGCCGACCCAGTGTTCTGCAGGGCGCTTCAGCGTATTCAAGATAACAGGCGAGTGGACAGCCCCAGAATGTCAAGCGCGGAGGGCAACGCGACAGTTTTAACGTTACCAATCTCAGCAGATTTTTCTTTGACACTGCTTCTCTTTCGTGACAAATGGGTGAAAAGTAACTGTAGCAAGTAGGAAAAGTGACTAAAAGATACAGGCGGCATCTCAACAATTTACCGCCAATGACACCACGCCTCAACAGAACAGCCTGTTAGGAGGTTTGACATACCCACTCATAACTGCCCGATGCACAGCTTTGTCTACACTATAAGGATGCCCATTGCTTACCCATTGGCAGCAAGATGTGTGATGTAGGTAGATCGCTTTCCGCCGTCAGCAGCGAGGGAAGTGGTGGATGCTGCTGAGTACTCGTGCGTGAAATCCTTTTGAATAACCTCATATTCGACGGCGTCTCTGTCCTTCTCAGACTCAATGTCCCGACAGTTCAGATCACCTTCCATTCGGGCTTCTCATCTGACGAGATCGCGCCAAGACGTCCTGACTCTGAAACACGGACAATGCGCATCATGAAGTATGACGTGAATGTGAATGCAACACCGTGGTGAGATGTGAAGACAGGGGTGCTTAAAACAGGATCAAAGCCGGATAAATGTATTGGACACTTGGGTTAAAATTTTCCTGGCACAGGATAGGGACCATCATTGCCAATTTTCTTTGATCATCCGCGGGAGGCCGCAGAGGTACATCAACAGCGTCTGTCAAAATGTTGCCTCCCAGCCTATGGTGACACATGACTTCCAAAACCGTTTGAATGAGAGCCATCTGAGCTGCTCCAGATGACCAGGCAATTTGGACAACATTGCACAATATTTACAGACTTTCACCCTACCTGATCCGTTAGCATCCATAGATAAAAAATGCAGCGGGCAGATGCAGCAACGAAACACATCACTCACAACACCTCAACCACTAGCGATGCCACGGTCATAGGCCAGTTTTCGTCACAATATCGAACATCACGGATTTTAAAGCTACAGATCGCCGAAAAGTTTCTCAGCTTACGACAGGTCGTGATGTATCGCGGTCGAACCATTTACGTCGTCCCGCTTCAGCGAACCGTGTATGCGAAAATTAACGCGTCTCAAGCTGAAACCCATTCAAATGGAATGCTCATGACGAAACCAGAACGGGGAGGGGGGAGCGTAACGGTGCAGGATGGGCCTGACGTCCCACATACGCGGGGATAAGGAGGGCTCCGGAGTAAAACTGGAGCCTTGAGTGAGTTTGACAATAAGACAGCTTACTAGATGAAGAGCTCCAGGGTTCCACATGGCCTTCGTCGATGAGAGCTGGGGTGGTACCCGGCCTTTTTGGCAATGAGGCGGGCAAGAAGATCGGCGATAATCACCTCCTGACCACTTCAGCGAGAAAACTTTGCTACTTCCTTGCTTTTTGCGTCACATATTGCGTACAGTAACCTGTAATATATCCTGGCTATGCCAAGGATCGCGGATAATTGTATGACAAGCCATTCTGCACTGGTCTCATTATCCACATTTCTGAACTTATGCCCCACTGGAAGCTTACTTGGATGCATGCCGCTCAAGAAATGCTGAAGTGATACGCCAGTTCCACGCCAGTTCCACTCCCTGACTTACCTTTACTGCTACAAACCCTCAGAGTACTACGGACGTGACGATACTATCTCTGGCGGCACTATCGACTTGCTGGTTGAACAAGAGACCCCAAGGCTAACGTCGATTATCTGTTACCAGTCCGCGAGAGCATCGCTGACTCCCTGTTACTAATGGAAGTCTCTCCAGGGCCCATCAGTGTGTTGATATCATTATCCAAAACAAACCACCCCAGCTCCAATGAACTTCCTTCATTATTTAGATTCAGGTATTTAAAAGCAAATGTTGTATGTAAGGGATACCAGTAAATCAAAAGGACACACCTTTATTGGGACAACCTGTCAAATCCTTATGGTTGACCACAGATTGAAAGGCCACATTTGAGGGGAATCCAGTGTTGATAGACTCTTGCCAGAAGCTTGCTTTGTGTGGCTAAGCCCAAACTACTGAGCCCTGCAACACTAAATGAGAAGTGTTCCAGTTGGCATCACACTGGAGATCCAGAAAAAAAACATGATCTTGTACTAAGTTATGCAGAAGGATCCAAAAAGAACCATGATCCTGCCTAAAATGAGCAAACCTATATCATATTGGACCATAAGATCCAGCCAAGAGCATGTACAGGCCATATGGAAATGGAAGAACCAACAACCAGCATGGAATGATGCCAAGGGATCTACCCAAAACCAATGTCCAGCATGGAATATGGCCCAAGACCCTCAAATGGCCCAAGATCCACCATAACACCACATTCAACATGATGGTCTGCTGAGGAAAGGCCCAGAGCCAAGATCCAAGAATCAGCAGAGAGTAATTCAAAGAACCAGTTAGAACTATTATCTTTCTAGGGCTTTGCATATAAGGAGCCAGTGCTCACCTAAGCATTGTACATTTACACTTTTTAATAATGTTTTGCACTTTTTCAAGCACATCCAAGCTTTCCAATGGGCATGAACCCTGGTTATAAGCTGCATGCAGCAGATGGACTTAAGCTTCTCCATGCACTATTATATTGATCAATTGTTTGCTTTTTTGCTGCACACAGGATAAATTTGTCTTCCTTCATTATGCTGAAGAATGGAACTACAAACAGGATGGATGTTAATTCATGGCAATCAAAGACTTATGGCACATATTTTTCTGACAGTATATCTATCCTAAGACAGCACATCACTGGGCTACAAACACAATTATACAACTGACAACAGTATGACAGCTGCTGGTTCAGAGCCAAGGGACATTAAAAACACTGGTATATGTCTTAAGGGAAGTTTGTAGACACCACCCTAGTCTGGATTCTATAGAAAAAATAAGCAAACCTATCAGGAGCTCCCCACATTTCTAGCCAAAACAACAAACCATGGGACACCAAACAAAAAAAAAACAACAATATCATGGCACAGTGACAAACAGATCCAACAAATCCTCCAATTGGATGACACATCTGCTTTATTCACATACTTTGATTTCATTCAACTTGGTTTTATTCAAGATTCAGCTCCTTTACTCATTGCTCACAACCAGAACAAGAAAATGGAATTATTGAATGGATCACTGAATGGAGTGCATTTTCATAAGTGCCTTTCATTTAAATGTAATCTGGGTCCCAAAACTGTGTGCCTAAACCAGTGGAGGAAAATTGTGCTGAATCTTGAAGCTGATTTCATTTGGGAGTAAGATTTGGTGGACATATTGACTACTTATGCTTATAATTGTCTTATTTTTGTTCTGTGAAATATCAACTACCCACACATGGAGCTCCTATCACCCATGCAACAAACACGGAACAGTTAAAAATAGACGATATAAGTGATGGACATTTCGGCGTAAATCCGCCACTACACATGACGTTCCGGGTACCGCGTATCTTCGCAGCATCTGCACTGATGAACTAAACGTGAGTATGCCGCCAGGCCACCCACATGCTCCCCCGACCTTAAAGGCTCTTAAAGTTTTGAATACATAACTCCATCCTCAAAAGATGACAGGGTCCCGTAACCCGTTTATCGCCGGCACCTTACCTCCTGAAATGGCATTAACCAACCGCCACAACCCAGTCCGTTCCCCAACGCAGACCCCACGTGCAGACTCGACCTTGTCGGTTCCTGCGCGTGCATTTTTGGCACCGCTGCGTTCTAATAGCCCACAAAATTTAGAGCAGACCAAAAAATCAATTCAAAATTCAAAAGGCATTTGCACTAAGCACAGAAAGACATTAGCAAAACCCTCTTTTTCATGGAATGCAAGCAAACACAGCCCAATTAGTCAAATTGTCTTCTAACATGTTGCAATTATATTTACAGCATCATAGTGGCATCTCTATATATAGTAGTTCTTTATAGCGCAATTGAGACATAACTGGAGTATCCGATCTAACGTGCTCGATGAACGATTAAGCTAAATAGGCTTTGCACGCTGGTCTAATACGAGTAAGTTCTCGCGTGATTTATGAGAGTTAAATCGTAGAATGTGGATGAGGATGGCTGTTGGAAAAGAAACAATTAGTGGAAAAAATTAATGCATGCGGTCAGTGACAAATGTGGAATGGATGTACTTGGGCGCCGGTGGGGATCGATTGCAGAGACCGGGACAGTTGCGTTGAACGTAGATACGTTGCCGAGGAAAAGGAACAGATTGATGAGGCGGCATCTTTAGCTCAGTCTGGAAAACAGATATGTTATTTAGAACATATTCGACATGGCAGCAACATCGCGGCGATTTCAGAGCATATACATTGTCAGTGGGAGCACCCATAGTTTGGGCAAGCTACCACCAATTTTAGTGCACAGGTAGCCAATATTCCATTGTTATACTATAATGTTGCATTGATAATATCTCAGAAATACTTGCAAGAGATTTTCCATGTAATAAGAGGTTGAAAGTTCAGTGTTATTTGGCATGCTCCAAGCTTCGCACACAAAGTTCAGCACAAAGCACATGCACAAAGTTCAGTGCACAGATATGTGGGTATCCAACACAGCAGATGAATTTTTTTGCAGACTGGTCTATAGTAAGACACAGGATTAAATGCACCTATACCTGGTTAAAGAGGAGTGGTCTGTTGTGAGATTCAGCCACCACTAACAGTATGTCCAATGTCCAGCATGTCTCTGGCAGGTGAAGAATGAAAATGCCTCAGTTGTATGGTTCATGCTGTGGTGGTGGCAGAGGTGCACAAGCACTGAGTTTTTACTTTATGCTGTGTTTCTGCAGTGTTTTATCTTAAAATAGCTACAGCTAGATGCTGGGTTGTTTTCTGGCTGCTAAAACCAGAACATCTTGAGATTTGTTAGGGTGGTGCAAGCAGTTAAAGTTTATCTGTTGTATTACTCTGATTTGTGCAATGATCAGCTGGTAACAAATGTTTGCAGGTTCAATACTGCTTTGCTATGGGCATTTGCAATGGTTCAAAGCTAATGCCACACATATGTCCTGCTGAAAACTGGTAATATTTACATACCACTTATGACATTTATACCTGCTGATGTTCTACAGGATTCCTAACATTGTTTTGTTCTGATAAAGTTTCAGAATGCATTGGGATAATTTTTGAATTCTCTCCCATAGGAAAAATGAATGAGACAATGGCTGGTCCCAGGAATGATGACCACATCATAGCTGAGGGCAAAAACTACATTGTCATCAAAGGTTCATTCATGAAGCTTGCCAAACTGAAGACCCAGAAGTAAGTAGAGGTCAATGAGTGTTGTGTTTTTGATGAGTGTCTTGCTGTTCCCAAAGCTTTTGTAAAATATTCTGAAGCCCTAACCAGAATGACACTTTATGGGGGCATTGTTCTGTGCCCCTGTTGTGCCACCTACATATTACTACACTATGTCCAGCAGCTGAGGGTCATTGTGTAGAGTAAAAGTTTGTCTGTGTGTCTGCTCATGCCACCCATGGTGCTGTAGACAGTGCCAGCTGGGCAGGACGGCTGTGGATGTGGCCGGCCTGCTCGGCCACCCAGTGGGCACCCAGTTCAAGCTGCGCCCAGGCACTGGTCGCCAGCGTCTGCTGCAGGCCGAGCCCGTTCAGCGGATGGAGGACCTGGCAGATGTCATCAGCACAGGTCAGATGCCACCTTACCATCTGTACTGTGTGAATGTCCAGATCAGATGTACTGCAAATCTGACATTTCTCAATATATTAATACCCTGCTGGGTTTGCATTTCAGTAGCATCATTTACATGATTAACGTATGGTTATGATTCGGAAGATATGTCCTTTTTTCTTGTGTCTTATGTGTTCCAAAAAGTTTGTCAAGTTAACAATGACTGCGGCAGGCCTGTAGTAAAGTCAGAACTTGGAACCATTTGCCTATTCACGCTGTTCGCTGGTTTTGGGCCTCTCGCAAACAATTTCCAGCTTCTAGTGCAGTTTGAGGTGGTCTGCAGCTGCGTCCCATTGCGCGCCGTCGGAGACTGTGTGGCCGGGCTCCTGTCGCCCGCCGTCTACCTTCGACACGTGCCGTCCTCAGACGAGAGCGCCGCCGACAACAGGAACCTGGTGGCGGACCCCAGCTCCCAGTCTCTCACACGTGAGAACATCATGGCGATGAGGGACCAGGGGGTGACCGGGAAGGAGATCGTCAACACCATCGTTGACAACAGCACGTAAGCTTGGCCTCGCCTCCGCCACTCGGTTTTCATTGTGCATTTGGGAAGGTGTTTCTTTTATTGATCGGCGTGGGCGTCGGACATTGCAGTAGGGCAGTCGTTAGATCGTCACAGTGTATAGTCTGCTTCGAGGGGAGGCAATTCGAAGCCTATGCTCGACTGATAACCGACTTCTGTGCCGCTATTGCCTGAGGGCGGGACGCGTCGGGGATTTTGCTGACTGATATGTCGCTGTTAGCGTGGGATGTTGGGGGCATGATGCTGATGGAGACGCGTTGCTTGTTTAGAAGCGAGATATGTGTATTGCGTCCGCTGTCTGGCGCCCGTGAACACTACTGGTTTGTTTCAGCTCATTTCAGGGAAAGACTGAGTATTCACAGGCGAAGTACGTACGCAAAAAGCAGAAGAAATATTTTGAATTCATCAGCGTGCACGAGCCCACCGCCCGTTTGGTCGCCAGTATGTACTACATGCAGGACCCGCTGAAAATCATGTCAGTTGCTATACAGCAGCACCACACTGTATGGCGTGGAGCTGCTGTATCACTCGTATTTCTCTTCTTTGTGGTATGCCTTTACCTCTATTGATTCCTATATTCATTCTCTCCTCTTTATTCTTAGCATTGTTTCTGCATTCGCCATGCGGTCTGCATCCCCTCTTCTCCATTACCGTTCTTCTCTGTCCCTTACACTCTCTTTCTGGGGATATTTGGATCTTACTGGACCTGGGATATGTTCTCATCTTGTGTTCCAGCATCGTCGCTCGTTCCGGTGTCTTTATCTCTTCCCCGTCTCATTGCGGTTTTTTGTGTCGAATGGTCAGACACTACTTGCACTAGAATGCACGTTTTGGTTACTACGATAGCGTTCCGTGCGGTTCTGTGCATTTGTATACACCCCGGCATAAACCTAGGGTGGAGTTTATGAGACGCGACATCGCTAGCTAGCGTGTGCCGTGATATCATTGGATGTCCCGGCACGACGCCAATCGAGTACGTTGTGATGCTAGCTTATGTTCTCGCAACGTCGGCTGAAGACTGTTGTGTGGCCCCGCTGTGTGCCTGGCCGGCGACCCCGGTCAGCCTGCGGGATCTTGACCGGGCCCTGGTGCCTGAAACCGCGATGTAAAATTATTTCAGTCGTCGATACCATGTATTTGTAAGGCTTATATATATATATATATATATATATATATATATATATATATATATATACATCGCGATGCTGTTATGCTGATGTCATCATAATGTTTTAATATTATAATCGTATTGTGCAGAACTGGTGTAAGGAATAGCGACACCATTATTATTTCTGTTTCTACGATTTTGATCATTGTTGCCGGCATTACCATCGTGTCTACCACCTCGGCAGGAACCTGCGGGTGGACTCGCTGAGTCAGCTGCTGACTGCGTGCAGCGTGCGTGCGGGCGGCCGGTACCTGCTGCTCGAGTCCGGCTGTCTGGGCGTGGTCGTGGCCGCCGTGCTGGAGCGGCTGGGCGGCCGTGGCCGGCTGGTGCACCTCTTTCAGGGAGGCGTGCCACAGAGGTGAGCACTCCAGCGCAGGTGCATCTATTCCAGGGAGGCGTGCCTCAGAGGTGAGCTACACCTCTTCCAGGGAGGTGTGCCTCAGAGGTGAGCTGCACCTCTTCCAGGGAGGTGTGCCTCAGAGGTGAGCTGCACCTCTTCCAGGGAGGTGTGCCTCAGAGGTGAGCACCCCAGCGCTGGGGCCCCTCTTTCAGGCCCAGGGAGGTTTAGAACAGAGGTGTGCGGGTGAGTGAGTCAGTGGTGAGTGGGTCACATGAGTGACTGGTGTGCTATTGGCGAAGACCATTACGTATGCAACTTGTTCGTCTAAAACTGTTTGATATGTTTGCAAAATATATTGATGCAGTTTTATGAGCTGTACAGTTGTGACGCAATTGTGCTCTCGTCCACCGTCCACTGAAGTGGACATAGTCCACTGAAGCCCAGCAGGGGCACATGACAACATGGGCACGGCGGCTCCGGCCAGCGATGCACGCTCACCGCCTCCTCGCGGCCGGTCCGCAGGCAGGCGGTGGACGCGATCAACTTCAGCGAGGCGGAGCTGGCGTGCCTGACCTGCCTGGACCTGCCGACGCTGACGTCACGCCTTCCCCCCGGATCGGCCCCGGCTGACCTCAGCGGCAGGGGCGCCGCTGGCGGTGTGGAGGTCACGCTCGCTGATGGCGCGGCACCACCGACCGCTGACGAGGCCACCCCCAGTAACGGCGGCGGGGCGACGTGCCCTGCCGGCGCTGAGGTGGCCCCCGCTAACGGCGCCGAAGTGACGCCAGTGGGCGGCCGTGAGGCGGCCCCCAGCTGTGACGGTGTGGCGGTGTCGTCGGTGATCGCCAGCGCCGCATCCAGCACTGGCGCTGGCGCGGCGCCCGCTGAGGACCAGGTGATGTCCAGTGTCGGCGCTGAGGGAGCGGAGAAGGACCAGGTGCTGCCCAGTGTCGGCGCTGAGGGAGTGGAGAAGGACCAGGTGCTGTCCAGTGTTGGCGCTGCGGGAGCGGAGAAGGACCAGGTGCTGCCCAGTGTCGGCGCTGAGGAAGCGAAGGACGCGGGAGGTGCGCCCGGCGCGGCTGAACCGGTCGCAGACGGCAACAGCGGGACGGAGGCGCCACGGAAACGTCGGCTCAGTGATGAGCAGGCCGGCAGTGCGCCCAAAAAGTCGAAGGTGAGAGGCGATCGTGGTGCGGTTTGTAGACAAACGCCGGTACTGGCATGATACCCTTATCACCGTTTCCATGGTAACCAATAGTCACGTCCCAGATGCGCAGTACGCACGCGTTTACACCAATGCGCACTGCGACGTGGTAGAGAAATCGCTTGATTTAGGGTGTACCAGGGTTATTTGTAAAGCTGCCGCGCATCCGTGTGTAAGTCAAAAAGTGTTATTTGTTGAGATGTACAGTTATAAGTACAGACATAAGGACCATATAACGTCCTCGGCATCTATGACGAGTAACTTGCTTAAATGACACTCACGTTATGTTGTGTAGAGAAAAGCGAAGCGCAGCGAACTTCGTTGAATCTCGCCCGTGCACGTCACGTGCTGTAGCCGCATGGTACCAGTGCAGCTCCACGCCGTACGCCGTAGCCATATGGTGCGCCGTGCCGCAGTACGCGCGGACCAGGGCCGAGGACTCGGCGCTGGCGCTGGAGCTGCTGTCAGCGGCCGACATGGACGGCTTGCTGCTGTGCTGCCGCCAGCACCCGCTCAACCTGCTGCGCTACCTCATCGACTTCGTGGCGCCGTCGCGGCCGTTCGCCGTCTTCTGTCCCTACAAGGAGGTACGGCATGCGCGGGCGGCCGGGGCGAGCTCGTAACGGCGCCGGGACCGGTGCCGATGTGCGTGGCATTATAGATACGACTGCATCCGGGCGTAAGGCGTCTCTATTATCATCAATATGCAGGATATTGATGGCGGTATGGTAGCATGATTATTGGCGGCCGTGAACCATGAATCGAAAGTTGAAAACTTATTTCTGGTCCAGCTGCGCTTACCAACGGTGTCACGTTCTGTCGGGGCGGTGAGAATACGGAAAACGTGGTCAAAAATTGGAATCGTGGCACACGCCCGCTTCTTGGATATGCGTCCGTGATTGTAATGTATGTGCATAATACCTGGCTGCATTACATCATCAGTTTGTTTTCAGCCTCTCCTGGAATGTTACTTCGCGATGAAAGCCAAGGGCTGCATCATGCTGAGGGTGACGGAGACCTGGCTTAGGAATTATCAGGTAACACGGTGTTCACAAAGTTGCACGCCTTAAGTGCTTCAAGCCCGCCTATCCCAGACGCTTATGCTCCTGCCAATAGGATGCTGAATGGAAATTTGAGGTGAGATTGATATTTTTAGGAAGAGAGCAGAGCCCTGACCGTTTGTGCCACCACTGCATTTGCCAAATAGTACCAATGCTAAAAGGAATATAGAATCAGTTCGCGGGGTATCCTAAGAGTAATTTCATAGCACGCCTCACCCGCTAACGGCACGGGTCATCGCCGAACATGGCCGACCGCATCGCTCGCCTGTGCTCCTCACAACGCTGGCGGAGCGCGGCGACCGCGCCGCCTCCCCGATCCTCCTCCCGCCCTCCTCGGAGCGGGAGCCCCTGGTCCGCAGCGCCGCCTCTCCGGACCGGGAGCCCTTGGTCTGACCTCTGCTTGCGCTCTGAGCTGACGGCGCACCGCCGCTGGCCGCAGGTGCTGCCCGAGCGGACGCATCCGGAGATCAACATGTCGGGCGGCGGCGGCTACCTGCTCACCGGCCTCAAGGTGGAGCGCACGCTCGGCGCCGCCGAGGCAGAGTGACCGGTCACGGGACGGGCCGGACCGGCTGGTCGGTCACTAAACAAGGCTCGCACTGGGTGGTCGCCGCTCAACAAGGCCCGAACTGGATGGTCGGCCGCTTAGCAAGACTTGGACCGGGTGGTCGGCCACCAAACAAGGCCCGGACTGGGTGATCGGTCACTAATCAAGGCTCGCACTGGGTGGTCAGACACAAAACAGGGCCCGGACTGGGTGATCGACCGCTTAGCAAGACCCGGACTGGGTGGTGGGTCGCTGAACAAGGCCCGGACTGGGTGGTCGACCGCTTAGCAAGACCCGGATTGGGTGGTCGGCCGCTGCACAAGGCCCGCACTGGGTGGTCGACCGCTTAGCAAGACTTGGACCGGGTGGTCGGCCACTAAACAAGGCCGGGGTTGGGTGGTCGGCCGCTGAGCAAGACTCAGACCGGGTGGTCGGCCACTAAACAAGACCTGGACTGGTGATCGGACGTTGGGTGGCGCACGCAGTCTGAGCATGTGTCGACATTTGTATGTATTTTTGCTGGATATAAAGCCATGGAGTCGTGGCCCTGTTTCGGGCGGTTCGATGGTGTTGTGGCTGCTTCGATAGGATGCTGCGGCGTCCGCGGTGTGACAAACCCTGCTGTAAAGATGATGCAGTCACCATGAAGACCCTGGTCCCGTGCCCAGACCTAGCCGCCGCCACACAGACGCACGGCGCAACACGGTCCAGCGCCCAATAGCTCGTCATAGGCCCTCCCCGTCTTCCAAAGAACGCAGAATGCGAACACAATGCGGAAAAAGGCACTACGCAGCTCTGGGAGAAGTATCAGATGGGTACTAGTGGATATTGGCGGGCGTGACCTGCGGTATTCATTTTATGCCAAGATTTTAAGGCTGACGCGGCAGTGACCCACCCTTCTGAATAAATCATACCTCGTCAACGGGGAAAGCGACGTTGGAAAGGCTGTAAGGTCGTGTCATGAAGGAAAACCGTATGGATTTCAGAAGATTAAATTTAGTTACGAAGGCCACAGTGCATTGCATGCGATATGTTAGAATTATTAGTCACTTTTGAGCAAAATGTCGCCGAGATGACCGTGAGGAAGAGGTTATAGATCATGAATCGTCAAGGTAAAAAGGCACCAAGTTTGCACAACACGTGCACAAATAATGCAAACTCAGCTCCTCAATGTTTTACCTCTTTGCTCAAAACCGTATGAAGTAATTCAGGGACGAGCCCAGGGAAAGCGGGCCTCCAGGTCGCATTGGGCGAGGGTTCAAACGTAAAACGAACCACGTGTGCTCATGCTTCATGTTCAAAATTGATGCCCGATATAAACACCGGGAGCGGTACCTGAGGGTTTGTGATAAGAAGCATACGCGTCTGCACGTTCAACGGAATTCCGATGCAGGCACACACTGGTTGATGCGGGCTACCGCTTTTAACCGAGAAGAAAATAGTGCACGATATCTGCGTTGTACGTTGGGTACCATTCGCCCACAGGTCAAAATGAGTGAATCGACACAGACCTTTCCACTTTTTTCCGAAAGCAAAACGGTTCATAGATGGTCAGGTCAGGTCAGGAGTGCTTGTTACGCATGCCCTCTGAACGCGGAGGAGAAGCGTATCGGGACCTGACTCCACGTTAGCACGCGAGCGGGACGTCAAGGCATACATAGTCTCCGAGCACGTACATGCTTCTTGAATGTAAGTGTTGGGGAAGCAGCGTTCGCGACACAAGCACTGGTCAATCCTAGGCTCCTCAACAAAGCCCCGCACCGTTTTTCGACGGAAGATCAGGCGCTCATAACCGGCACCATCGGTTCACAATTCGCAGCATGAGCGTGCTTCACGTCACGGCTCAAGAGCGTGCTGCGCACCACCTGCCATGGCGCATTCTGTTCACCTCTCAGTCAACATGCACCACACGCACTGGCAGAAGCATCCCATCCCAGCCAACCGCGCTGTCCAAGCCTGGTCAGGCCAGGCCAGTCCACTCATGTCCAGGCTGTCCACTCTGTCTCACTCCACATCACATGATATTAATACAAACGCGTTTAATCATCGGCATTCCGGGTGGGCCGCTGCACCAACACCCGCTGAACCAGCGCCCGCTGCACAAGCGTCCGCTACACCCGCTGCAGCAACTTCACACCAGCGGTTCGTCGCCGGCTACAGCAGCTCCGTCTGCAGGCTGTGTCGGGGATCGTCCGGCAGGACGCTGTGCGAGTCCTGACCGCTGCCGCAGAGACTGCACTCCATGGCGTACTCCTGGTAGCCCTCTTCCACACTGAACGTGTGGCGGTGCACCGCGATCAGGTGACGACAGGCTGAACACGTGTCTGCGGGCAACAGACGTCCGAATTAGGCGGTTACACGAGTCCGCGGGCAACAGGCGTCCACGCCACGCGGTTTCACGTGTCTGTGGGCAACAGACACCCGAGTTAGGCGGTTACACGTGTCTGTGGGCAACAGACGTCCACGGCAGGCGGTTTCACGTGTCTGTGGGCAACAGACACCCGAGTTAGGCGGTTACACGTGTCTGTGGGCAACAGACGTCCACGGCAAGCGGTTACACGTGTCTGTGGGCAACAGACACCCGAGTTAGGCGGTTACACGTGTCTGTGGGCAACAGACGTCCACGGCAGGCGGTTACACGTGTCTGTAGGCAACATACGTCCTTATTAGGCAGTTACACGTGTCTGTGGGCAACAGACGTCCACGGCAGGCGGTTACACGTGTCTGTAGGCAACATACGTCCTTATTAGGCGGTTACACGTGTCTGTCGGCAACAGACGTCCACGTCAGGCGGCTACACGTGTCTGTGGGCGACACACGTCCGCGTTAGGCGGTTTCACGAGTCTGTAGGCAGTACACGTCCTTGTTAGGCGGTTACACGTGTCTGTAGGCAATATATGTCCTTATTAGGCGGCTACACGTGTCTGTCGGCAACAGACATCAGCGCCAGGTAGGCAACAGACGTCCGCGTCAGGTGGATGTCTGTTGACTTGCATGCGTCTGTGGGCAGCAGACGCCCACGTTAGGCGGTTACACGTGTCTGTAGGCAACAAACGTCCGCGTCAGGCGGTTACACGTTTCTAGGCAACAGACGGCCTTGTTTGGTGGTTACACGTGTCTGTAGGCAACAGACGTCCTTATTGGCCGGTTAAACGTGTCTGTGGGCAAACAACATCCGCGTCAGGTAGGCAACAGACATCCCGGTCAGGTGGTTACACGTTTCTGTGGACAGCACCCATCCATTTTGGATCGCGACACGTGCCTGAGAACGAGATTAGTCCGTACCACATGGATACGCCCGTCTGTGAACGGGGGTCACCCGTGCCAAATAATCGCCTGATTCTGAAACGGGAACGAGCCGTGCCCGACTGCTGGCTACTACACGTGTTTGTCGATAGGAGCCATCCGTATCCCGCGATTGTGCGTGCCCGCAAACGTGGTCCGTGTCGTTGCAGATGCCCAAGCACTGGGCCGTTCGTATCAGATGGTTAATTTTTGGGGACTGAATTCCCATCCTTTCAGATGATTATTACGCGTCCGGGGGGGGGGGGGAGAAATTTGACTCCCCCCCAAAAGGTTGATCCAGAATGAATTCCGAACGGCGCGGCTAGGCTTATTTTGCACAACTGTAGACAGTTGCATAGGGGATCTTTTGGTACATTTAGATGTACCTTGAAGGTCGCTGACCTATAACGGGTCAGTCAGGTCATGCTTTCAACGACGGCGATTTGTAGGGAGTCTTTCAATCTGATGCAACAACGGAGTATAAGACGAAGCCATACATCTCTGAGGTAGACTCTTAGGCGACACAACAATAGAATAAAAAAAAAATAATTGGCCTAGGGTAAGGTATGAAGGCCAGACCAAGGGCAAAAGCGATCGTTTTCTACTCGAGACCTTGCGGTATGGGGTTATTCTTTATGCTAATTTTGAAATTATTTATGACAGAAACCGCATCATTTGTCTTCCACGGACTTTTTAAAGGTCAGACAAGGCCACTGGCCTAAAATGACCCAGGTCACCATTTTGCTTTTAGGAGCATATGCCTATTGTAATTGTTGATGTCTATTTAAATGGAAAAATCAGAGCAGGTTTGTGTGATTTTGGTGACCAGAGCCTTCTACGGATCAAACAAGGTCACTGACCTTAAATGAGTACCTGTGAACTTTTGCTTAGAACAGGTGTCTATGTTTACGGAGGTTGTATAAAAAGGTCTGGAGGCACTATCGACGCCAGTCTGGAGTTTTACCTTGTTTCACATTGTTTGACCTGAGAGTCATGACCTAGGGACCTTAAATTTTGACACAACTAAGCTCACATACAGTGGGCTGCCCATAGTGTAGTGGTTAGTGCGTCCGCCTTAACCCTTGCACGTCTGGGAGACCAGAGGTACGGGGTTCGATTCCCCGCGGTGCCCGCTCTTCCTGCCAGGGTGAGAGGCGGGCGATGCCATATAGCCTCAGCAGCTGAGTGCGTCGTAAAGCCCCAATAACATGACACAAGCTCACATACAGGTCAACACACCCTGTGAATTTAGCTTCTCTAGCGCTCTTAGTTTCTAGGATTTCAGGGGGTCAAATTAACCCTCCGCCCGACCAAAGGGTATTCAGCCGGCTGCCCAGACACGTGTTAGACGTGTTTGAACGAGATTCGACCATGTCGGATATTGTTACGTGTTTACAGTCCAACCTCGCTCGTGCCAGCAAATATAAAATTACGTAAAAACACGGAAGCAATCTATATGAGGTGCACAGTTCGTGCACGCGGTGGAGCATTGCACCAATGGGGCAGGCCTGTATTCATTGCAAAAAACGTCGCTCCAAAGGGCACGAATGTCGCTTACGTGAAAACGTGACGATCTCGGTACCCTCCTCATCCTCTTCCTCGTGCTTCTCCGTGTTCTTGATGTCCCGGACCCCACACTCAGAGCAACAGCGCAGATTCAGCATGAAAGTACCACTTTCAAGAACGATGCGATCCTGAAATGAAAACAAAGCAGTTGCCTGCAGTTGAACACCAGCCAGTTGAAAACAAAATTAGGGCCTCATTGACACTTGATCCAAGCAGGCAGGATACATTAGAATAGGGCACATTAGAATGCATTCATCACTGATTGCTTACATTAAAGCAAAGGTTCCCATGCTGGGCTGATGCTGGTGACCTGCATTGGGACAGCATCAGGGCCAGTATATTATCAGTTCATTAAATGGGCAGGCATGGTGCTGGCAGCCCCGGTGAGGCTAATAGAACAGGTGACCTCATGTATTGGGCCTGCATTGGCTCAACAATGTCCGTAGCTGGGCATCAAAATGTAAATGATGAATTTCTTGATGTTGGAGACCATTATGTATATTCCTGTGTCACTGCTGCAATCTTATTTGGCTAGTGGAATAGCCAAGAGGGGTTTTTGAGGTCATATCATACCCTTGGAGGTAGGAGATGCCCACTGGAGAGAAATGCTCCCAATTTTTTGCCATTTAAGGTGCTCAAAGTGCTTCTCAACATCATCAATAGGCTTTCAAGGCAAAACAACAGGACACTAAGCCCACACAAGTCTCTCAAATGTAAACACAGCCCACTGCAGCAATAAACATTGCTACTTTAGCCAGAAAGGGACCCTATGCCCTTACTTGGTCCCTCCTAAACAAAACTCTGATTATGCCAAGACCTGGTGATATCACATAGCATGGCAAAGTGACTGCAAGTCAAATTCAGGAGTAGCAAGCAGCTGGCTTAATTCTCATTTACAATCTCTGCACCTGTTTCATATTGTGGGAACCAATTATTCAACATTTACAGACTTTTACATTGTGGCTGAGGTGTTGCATGGTCATCCCAAAAAAGCAAGAAAAAGATTGGTTCTCACTTTGTTCTGCCTCAAAGCAGGGACCTTTGGCATACACTTTTCCTATGTTTCGAATCAGGAGTTTACCTAAGTCATTGGGTGCTACACATTTTTCACTTTGAGCTCACACTCTTGTCATGTAGTACACGTTGCTTACCCTCTGCGGACACTCCGTCTTCAAGCACTTGTGACACATTTTAACAGGCTGTCCGTCTCAAACTGCCTGGGCACTGAGAATAACAAGCGTTTATTTTCCAGAGCCTCGGATTCCGGCCTCCGCGTGACTCGGGTGGCCCCTTTGGATTTTAGTGGCCTCATCTTTCGTGAATGTCGCAGACTCGTCATATACGTAGGACGCATCTGTCCGTGACTCACGGATTTGGGTGGGGTGTTGTCAAGAAAGTCACGGGCCGGCGAAGTTAGAACCTGAGAGTCGGGTTGGTTGCCGCAGTAGCTTATGGTTTTGTTACCTGATGTCCTATGCATGTGTTTTTTGCACAGCTGTTCCATGCAACCCCACCTTTGTGGCAAGGAATGTCCACCCGTTGGAGGGGTTGGAAGTACAAATGTTTCTTAATGTTTTCTTAGAATTAACGTAATGTTTTGCTTCCGTATAATGGTCACCCATGGATATGATAACCCATTTTGAAAATTTGTTTCTCCTCTCCTGTTTGTGTACTGGGTGCTCTGGGCACAAGGCCCCTGTGCATGCTCCAAAAACCCTTTTTAGCATTGAATGATTTGCAACCACACCTGTGCATGGTGGTCCTGTGTCCAACATCTTGCTGTTATAATTCAGTTATGATTCATTACATCCCCCTTCCATGCAATGTAAAACATTATTCATCAACTGCTTCAAGACAGCTATTGATTGCCAATGATTGCCAAATATCATAAATAATTTACAATGTAACCTGCCTTTGACTGTAGTGCACTGGATCAAAACTGCTGTGATGGTAGTGGCATTGCTATATACTCACCTTCCTCAGGGTGTGTGCCAAACTCAAAGTTTTCAGAATCATCAGGATATGGTATGAAATCTTTGGGCTGGGACAGAAGTGTTGTGTGAACTATTGATGTATGGCCCATATGTGACATTTTCCATGCCTTTTACATAGAAATAATCATTCAGTGTATCACATTAACATGGTTAGATTGCTGCTGGTATTTACATTCTAGTTTTTAATACTTTTCCCAATTACCTAACCTTTACAGTTTGGTCCCAGAACTCTGGCATTTTAAAGCTGTCACAGTGGAAACTATGAGCTCTGCTACCAGAGGCAAAAGATCAATGCCACAACTTTTCTATGATTTGGCATTATGTGTTTGACACCACACAGAAACAAATGTTTTAGAAACTCTTCACATCCCCTCCTTCCCCTAAGGTTTGGGCAATTGTGGAGCTTTTGGGAAAGACTGGAACAGTTACCATCATTTTGTCTTGATATCTATGTAGTATTGCTTTCCTGTTGCTGATTTATCTTTCAAAGAAAAAAATTCATAGGGTAATCATTGTTGGTGTCTAGCTTCCTTATCCAGATTGCTGTATTTTCTCTCACAGAGAACCACATGATCACCAGCTGGTTATTCTGTTTTGACCAGGACATCAGTCTCATTTTTCAACAGGACTGATCCAGGCTGTAGCAATGGATGCCTTTGATGTCATCTTCAACCAGCCTGTTGTTATTGACAATGTGAGTATCAATGCTTTTGTAGCATTATATCTGTGCCAGCAATTTGCAGTGGCAGGCTGTTACTGTCATCATCAAGCATTGTCATGGCCCCAATAACTTGATTTCAAACTATCATCACTTATGTGACTTGTCAGAAGCACTGGCTTCCATTGGCAGGATGTAAGAGTGAGAGGCAAGGCAACCTTGTTGACATTTCTATGAGCAGGAATATGAACAGAAGTTTTTGAAGATTCACTTAATAACTGCTGAAATTGGGCTTACATAAAAGACAGCCATGCTGTATTCTTGCACTGTTGCATTGCATAACAGAGACCAAGTCAATTCATGCATGGTCTTACAATGAGATATTCTGTGTTCCAGGGTTCTGGAGTGATCAAGGCAGGATTTGCTGGAGACCAGACACCAAAATGCCACTTTCCAAATTAGTGAGTATGAATTCCTGTATTAAGTGACACCTCTCCCCAAGCATGCAAGTGTTGTTGATATTTATGTCCCAGGTAAAGGTTAGAGCACAATCACATGGCATCATAGGCCTTGGGAAGTGGTGGTCAGGTGACATGTTCATTTGGGTAGTCCTGTGCATAGAGAATGTGTTGTGCTCATCTCCTCTTAACATAAGTGGTATATTCAAGCTGCTCTGACTTGTCTGGCATGCAAATGCTGTGATTATTCCACCTGCACTTCTTGGCATATCTGAGAAGAAATCCTCACACATAGTCAGTGAGGGGTGGGGTCATCTAGTTCTCTACTTTAGGCCTTGATCTTTGCACCATAAATGACACCTCACATTTTCAGCGTGGGCAGACCGAAGCATGTCCGAGTGATGGCTGGAGCCCTGGAGGGTGACATTTTTGTTGGCCCCAAGGCAGAAGAGCACAGAGGACTGCTTAGCATCAGGTGAGATTCTGTTTGACAATCATGCATATGTCTGTATGATGGCATTGATGGAAGCAGCCACAGCATGCCCCTTGTCTCCCCCTATACCTAACCAGTGGAATCCCGCATTTGGGCGCCCCCCCCCCCCCCGTCATCAAATCAGTACACTTATGTAGTCAGCTTTGACAGGCGCCAGCTTGTTAATTAGTACTAGTCCACTAGTCTGTAGAACAATTCTATGAGTCTAATGCCAATGCCACTAGAGGAGGTCCTCTCTGTTTGCATCCTGTGCTGGGAGAAGAGTTTTTGTCATCTCTGTCTGTCTCCCATCCTGGGAGGAGAGTGGGGTGGCTCGCACCTCTGTCACGTGGTGCCTTCGTCGCTGGTTGAGGTGCCTGACCGCGTCGGCCGGTCGCCAGGTACCCCATGGAGCACGGCATTGTGACCGACTGGAACGACATGGAGAGGATCTGGCAGTACATCTACAGTAAGGACCAGCTGAAAACGTCTTCAGAGGAGGCAAGTGGACCAGAGTCAGCATCTGGATGCCAGGCGTCGTCTCTTCAGGGCATGGCGCAACGGGCTGCTGGGCAATGCCTATGTTGTTGATGTTTTAATGCTTGCATTGAAAGGACATAGATAGAAAATCATTGAGTGATATACTGCTTTCATAATACTTTCAGATTTTGTGGAGCAATCCAATTACGTGAAAATCGACAGCGGTTTGCCCGACAAACTACGTGTCGTTCGGCTCTGAACGGCGTATTACGTGGGACGCGTCCACGCCTTGTACATAGTAAAACATTTCATCAAACAGCCACTGTGGTGTGCTATTGTTAAGCAGCCCGATTATATCATTTAGCCATAAGTCAGCGATTTTTCGATGACTGCGTCGTCTGGTTACCAAAACGTATTGACGTTCTTCTGACGATGCACGTTCGTCAGGAACGTGCAGGCATCGTTTTCAGACGCTCAGTAACGCTTAACGCTTTTTGTTTCATTACAGCACCCAGTACTTCTGACAGAGGCCCCTCTGAATCCCAGGAAGAACAGGGAGAAGTCGGCTGAAATATTTTTTGAAACCCTTCAAGTTCCTGCATTATTTGTGTCCATGCAAGCCGTCCTCAGTCTGTGAGTTTACATGATCTGCTTGGCGCACCCATAATAATACCGCAGACGAAATCGTTTGTTCTCAACTACCTGATTAGGGCACCACATTTTCACTAATCCTCCACCTCTGTGTTCAGTGTGCCGCACTCCCTGCAGCATCCGAGCGTGGCCGGCGCGCCGCTAACGTATCTCCCTCGCGGTGCGCAGGTACGCCACAGGCCGCACCACGGGTGTCGTGCTGGACGCCGGCGACGGCGTCACGCACGCGGTGCCCATCTACGAGGGCTTCGCGCTGCCGCACAGCATCATGCGGGTGGACGTGGCCGGTCGCGACGTCTCCAGATACCTGAGGTGACCACCCGCGACGCCAGCCAGCCACGGAACGGACCTGACCCCCGGGCCGTCCCTGACCACTTTGTTAGCATAGATGTGACCGCCGACGACGCCAGCCAGTCGTTGAACACCTCCCGGCCGCTCGTGACCGCTGCGTTAGCATAGATATAACCACCGACGACGCCAGCCAGCCACGGAACGGACCTGACCCCCGGGCCGTCCCTGTCCACTGTTAGCGTAGATGTGACCACCGACGACACCAGCCAGTTACGGAACGGATCCAACCCCCGGCCGCCCGTTTTCGCGCAGGCGGCTTGCTCGTAAATCGCTCAGGTAGTACGTTTTAACCAGGCTTCAGTATAGGGCTGCCATTTGGACGGCTCACTGCGGGCGACTCTCGGCCGCGGCCGAGCGTACCTACTGACCCGGGCCATAGCCTGTTCCGTGCAGCGCGCGTGCCTCTCCCCTGCGGGATGAGCTGGTGGCACCGCACCCCCGGCCAGGTGCTCTCGTGGAGGACCGTTCTGATCTGATCTGACCCATGCTGACCGCCGCCGTTGCCAGACTGCTGCTGAGGAAGGAGGGCGTCAACTTCCACACGACGGCCGAGTTTGAGGTGGTCAAGGCCATCAAGGAGCGCGCCTGTTTCGTGGCCACCGACCCGCGCCGCGAGGAGACCAAGGAGACGGAGCGGGTGCGCTACACCCTGCCCGACGGCAGTGCGCTGGAGGTGAGCACGCGCAGAGCACGGCCGAGCTGCTCCTCCCGAACCAGGCAGCGGTGGCGCGCGCCGAGTGTTAGCGAGATGGACCCAGTCTGGCGGGGCTGTTGTTACAGTCAGTGGCGGACGTTAATCCCATGATCAGTGGTCGAGATTGGCATATTTGTGGGACATTTCTTCAGTTAGTTTTGTTCCAGTTATCAATTTGTTTAGAAAACATGCATTCAGGCATGCAACCATATAAACTTGACAGAAACGTGAGGCTAATCCGGTTGAATGAGCAGCGATTGGACAGAATGAATTCATTGTCCTAGTTGTTGCATCAGTACCAGGTGGGTGGGCGCGGGTGCGCTCCACCAGCCCGGGTTTGCCGGCACCTCAGCGGCCCCTGGGCTGGTTTCAGATCGGCGCGGCGCGGTTCCGCGCGCCCGAGGTGCTGTTCCGGCCGGACCTCATCGGCGAGGAGTACGAGGGCATCCACGAGGTGCTCATGTACTCCATCCAGAAGTCAGACCTTGACCTGCGCAAGGTGCTGTTCCAGAACATCGTGCTCTCCGGCGGCTCCACCCTGATCCGGGTACGTGGCGGGGCCCGCCCCGGTCAGTGCGAGCGGGCGAGCACACGTTTGTGTCCAGGCGGGGAAGGACTTCATGGACATGGCTAAGCGGTGGGACCGGTCACAATTGCAACACATGGGGTGGTTCACTGTCTGTGCTTGATGGAGCAGAGCGACCCATGAGATTGGATGGGGATGAGCTGAAATCCGTGACACATGTTCTCTTTCAACATTTTTTTTTTTAAATGACTGACCGCCATTCAGTATGCGATGGGAAGTGATATCTGGGAGCAAATGCACCACTTGTAAGGCCGCACCACCGTTAGCACCGTGTTCGAAGACTGACTCGCAGCTGACCAGAGGGCTGACCAATCATAGAATGGCCGCGGCGTTCCGCTGCTGAGCACGGCAGTGATTTCCCAGCAGCTTTGTCTCGAGATAAACACAAAACACCGAGGTATCTGCTGAAATAGTTCCGTTTCTCAAGTACGTGGCTCAAAGTACACTCAAGAAGCGTATCTGGCATACTGGAATTCCTAGGTCAAGTGGGCAAAGGTCGGAATTTTATTCAGTGCGTGATGTTCTCTGTAATCCATTATTAACGTGTGGATCAAAGTACTGAGGCTCTGATGGTTTGTAAATGATGTGGATTTTGTGGTTAATTTCTTTGTCGCCTTGTTTTGATGTGTCGTTCTGATAAAGGTGTCACTCAAATTTCTTTCTTTTCACAGGGTTTCGGAGACCGCTTCCTAAGTGAAGTGAAAAGGCTGGCACCGAAGGATATCAAAATAAAGGTATATTCTGTACATCCTGTTCCGATTGTGGATGCTTATATTTGTCTACACTTTTGTGTATGTCCCATCTTATTTCGCGCCTAGTGGCAAAGACAAAGTGCATGTCATCATTGCCGATCCAGGGCGCATCAGGTTGGGTGGTGTATAGGAGAAGGTGTTGAGGATTAAATGGTCGTCTCTTCTTCTGTATGTGACCATCTCTCTGGGACGGTGAGTTCTCTGGTATCGAGCACTCCTTCTCCCTGGCGCGGCTGCGCACTGCCACTTGGAGCTGAATAGCTAACGTCACGTACAAACTGGGGGCAGAATGACCGCCGTCTGCGCGCCCCCAAACTCCTATCATCATCGTCACGCGCAGAGGATACGGGGCCTGGTGCTGGTGGTTTTCGTAATGCTCCATTTGAGATCACTTCATGCGATAGCCAATCCGGTTTACTTCAGCATTGAAGAGCATTGCTGATCCTGGGCATACAAACATCTGTGGAGCCGAGGCTGCGTTCTGACGCTGGGTCCCGGACCGCCCGCTGTGGTGTCCTGTGTGCCGATGCTGACCGGCCTGTCACCGCCCGCTGTGTGTCTGCTGTGGCTGCTGGTGTTCTGCGTGGGTGCCGAATAACCAAGCAGCTGTGGCGCGGTAAGACCCAAATCAACAACAGGTGTCCTGCGTACCGACGCTGAGTCCCTGACTCCCGCTGTGCGTCTGCTGCGGCGGCAGGTGTCGGCGCCCAAGGAGCGGCTGTACTCCACCTGGATCGGCGGCTCCATCCTGGCCGCCCTCGACACGTTCAAGAAGATGTGGGTCAGCAAAAAGGAGTACGAGGAGGACGGCCAGCGCGCCGTCCACCGGAAAACCTTCTGAGCGCGCCGCCTGCCGCGGCTAGATAGCGACCGGGCAGCAACAGGACAGCGCCCGGCGGCGTCGGCACACTGGCCGGGCAGTGATCGGGCACTCGCTGGGCAGTGATCGGGCAGCGATTGGACATTGGCCGGACCTTCGCTTGGCAGCGGCCGGCCGTCGGCTCGGCAGTTTCGGCGCGGCGCTCCGCCCGTCCGCCCCTTCCCGTGTGCTTATAGTTTTGTATGGGCCGTGTGGCGCCGAGCGTGATAACTTATTTTGATGGTGAGTTTACTGCGCGCCGTGCTGGGTCGGTGTGCGCTGCTTTCGGGGTGGGTCGAGTGGTGTGCGGTGGTGCGGCCTTCTCCGGCGGCTGGTGGCCTCGTGCGTGGCGCCCGGACGACATTCCACGGATGACACGTCGGGCAGCCTGCGCCGCGTGCGGCTGCCGTCCTCGTCTCCTGTAACACTGCGGCTGGGTGTCCATGTTGCGCATCACATGCCTCCAAAGCACCGTTTTAACAGACCCCTAGGGCGCTCGTAATTTGTTCACCCCTCCGTTATGGACATTACGATAAATGAACAACTTATCGATCACGATTTTTCTAGGCATGACGGCGGGTGTCCGCATGTGGCATGCAGCACGCGGCGAGCTCTGGTGAAGAAGACTATGTTAGTATCAATCTTGATGTCTTCCACGTCAAGACTGACTCCCACTTCACTCTTCCGCTTCCACCACCAGATTCCAGCACCACTTCGCGGTGCCGTAAAGATCAGCACGTTATTTTCATCAATCTAATAACCGCACAGGTTACATATGCCCCCGAATGTCTCCAAATGTACGATGTGGTGTCATAAAGCGTGCAAAGGTACTCGTTTAAGATAAGTCGCCATTTTCGTTCACCTGTTGAGCACGACGTAGTGTTAGCTGCAGGGCCGGCGCCGCACAGCCCAAGGAGGCTGCAACGCTCGGCGTCGAGCTCTTTCTTATATATGATATGATGATTATATAATAAGAGCTAAAAGATATGTAAGCGCGCATGTTTAAAGCTAGGTTACAGAACTTGCGCCACTAATCAATCACCAGTGAATGTTGAACATATCCAGATAAGACAGCAGTATTAGGATTATTCCATGGAGAAAAAAAACTAGGAGAATGGAGATATGGTTGGGTTGATATTTCGGCAACACGCCTTCATCAAAACGACGGCAGAAGACTTACGCTATTCTTAACATATTCATGCAAATATGGCTTGGGTAGAACGAAGGTATGATCAGAAGGAACGAAGGTATGACATCAATGCTACTTCGCGATTAATACTTACATCATTACCGACGCCCGCCCTCGTCGTTTCCGTAGTGTAGTGGTTATCACGTCCGCTTCACACGCGGAAGGTCCCCGGTTCGAGCCCGGGCGGAAACAGCTTTTCGTAACGCTGCTTTTAGAAACACAAAGACAAAATGCCCATACGCCCACAGAAAAGAAACTTAATACATGTCCACCACACAAACCTTCAATAAATGCTCCGTCTGGTGGGGCACTCATCTTCGATGAATAGACACCTGCCGGATGAATTTCAGTCGTTCGCACAGTTTATTGTTCTTCCGTTCCGGAGAAGCTGTCCGTCTCAGCATCATACATGACTAGCTTGGGGTCGACGCCCATGTGTCGCAGGAGATCCGCCATGGCGACGTCTTGTTCACGGCTCTGCAGCCGCTGCTGTAGGTCGCGCAGCGCCTGCTGGGCCGCCCTCGTCCAGCACTGTGTCAGCCGCTCCAGCTGCGGCAGGCTATGCTGCGGGGCGATGCGACGACCCGGTTAGGCGGCAGCGAGCCGGCCAGCTTCAGCGAGCCGCCGTCGGCACTGTGATGGTTATCACGGGGTCGGGGGGGTCACCTCACGCTGACGATCGGCTCAGGGGAGCGGTCTGAGTCGGGGCTGGTGAAGGTCGGCCCCGGCAAACAGACCCGGTTAGCGGAAGCGGCGTGTGCGCAGAGCGGGTGCTGTGTAACTTTCCGCCCAAGTCGCGCCTCATACTGAGAGGGGCGCCCGAATGTGGTGAGGCACGGCACACACACACACAGTTGATGAATCTTGTGACGAAACTTATGCATTGCTCCACCGAGATCCTCGAGTTCACCAGTCTTAGTCATGCTTGTGAATAGCTAATGGAGAACAATTGTTGGCAGTCTACCTGTGATTGAGAGGCCCGCATCTGTCTAGTGATGATTTGCTTTTGAGGCCCAGGCTTTGTTAGATGCGATGTATAGGAGAACGTGTTCAGGATTGAAAGGTCGTGTCTTCTGTATGTGAGCATCTCTCTGGGACGGCAAGTTCTCTGGTATCGAGCAATCCTCCCAGGAACGGCCGAGGACTGCCGCTTGGCACGCACAAACTGGGCGCAAAATGACCGCGGACGTCTGCGGTCATGTTGTCTGCGCACCCCTAAACCCCAATCATCACCATCGTCACGTGCAGAGGATACGTGGCCTGGCGGTGGTGTCTCATAATCCTCTATCGTGGATCATTTCATGCGATGGCCCTTTGTTCATGCATCATGTATGCAGGCTAGTCCCAACCTTGGGGCTAGCCTGCATCGATCCAGTAATAAATGGTTATCGTTGCTGACATCGTGACGCTACCTCCAATGGAAAACCAACAAAACCTGTAGCGTTAAGACTATTTACTTACTGATCATGTGAGCCTGCTGTAACCCATTGAAACCACCTTAAATAGAACATGTTAAGAAATGTCACAGCATCACATGAATTCCCAACCTAAATAATCTATCACGGCATACTCACATTCTTCCTGTAGTGGCTAACAAGCTTCAATTTCTGCAGTTTTTCTTCTTGAGCCATCAGCTGAGCACTACAGACACTGGATCTCCTCCTTTTGGGTTGCTGTCTTGATTCGGAGGTCGCAACCTCTGACTGTGTTCTCTTGCTCACCGGAGTATTGAAAGACTTGGAGATTGGCTCTTGCATTGTTGAGGTCCTCACCACCAGTGGCTCTTTCAAAACACAATCAGCAGTCGGCACCTTCTAAGCCCACCAAATCTCTTGATTAAGTGGCAGGTCAATGGTGGCAGACCTAGTTGTTTGCTTTCATTCCTTTTGGACATCAGGTTTTCTCAGTGTCAGAAACCAGTCAAAAGTGCTAGAGATATTGCGCAATCACTGTTTAAATTATACATTAATTCTGAACTAGCTGGTTCACTCCATCGACATAAGTCATAATATGCTGATGACCATAATTTCTTTCCCGAAATATCGACACCGCATGCCTTAGCACTCACCCCACCAGGCTTATCAATCGGCCCACCCCTCCAGCTTGTTCTACCTCATGCTTTACCTCTTACTGTCATTCCACCTTACTTTTTAACAGCTGAGGGAACCAATTTGTCCCTCCCCACCCTGTATGGCAGTTGTGTGGAACTGCTATTAGGCTGCAGGTTAAGTGTTTCTCTAGTTTTAGGTTTTCAGTTGTTTTTAGGCCTAGTTTTTACAAACAACTTTTTCTCAAATCCTCAAAGTACCTGCATAACAGCTACTTATTTGCTGATACACATGACCTCCATCCAGAGATTGTGAATGGTCAGGGGGGACATAACTTCATCTTGAGCTCATTCCTTCATGCAGTAAGAATAAGTTAATGTTAATATGTCACGCAGGTATGCAACATTTCACCAGTTAACTTGCTAAGATATTAGCCAAGGCTGAACTATCAAGCTCTGTGTAGCATGCAGAAATAAAGCTACTTTTGAGCGGCCTGGTTCTCCAAGGCAAACATATTAACTTGATTTAAGGTAATTTGAATAACAAATTTGGGCTTGAGCAAAAATTGATGAATCAGATTCTGAATCTGAATAACTTTTTTTGTTGAAAACAGAGAGGTTGGTAAATCTCTAAACATAGATGCAAATATGTGCATCACATACATGTAAATCAATGTCATTAATTTACTCTAAACAGTGTTGTAGCCTGCAGTGTGATTGTATGCAGCTGAGTGCTGCAGTGATACTAAAATAGGTTTGTACCAAAAAAACAGACACATAATCATCAAAGAGATAAACACTTAGCAGAATGTCAAGCCATACAAATGATAACACAGACACCTTTCCGACATCAAGCCTAGGGTACATGAGCAAGCCATGCAGGTATGAAATGCATTCACAGCCATAAATGCCTTGGGGTTTTCTCTCTCAAACCTGTGAACTGAACAAAAAATAACGCACCAGCCGAGTCACACCTCATCCCCATAATGATGGCGTGTGTAGGCACATACCATCAGCGCAGTCGATTAACCGGACGCATTTCATTTTCAGACATATGCATCATGCACATACAAATTATGCGCCTTTAGTCAGAAATGAGTCAGATGCGTTGCTATTGTAGCATACGAAGGTGTACTCTTGAAATATGTTTATGACGTCATGTCATCAAAATGCCCTTTTATTGTCAGCATGTACCTAAATTGAGTAAAAGTAAATAAAAAACATTATGAAATTAGGTGTTTTTACTTCATTTAAGTGCATTTAGTTGAAAAAATCTCTTAAATTGAAAGTTAAGATTTCCAGATTACCTCATACTAATTCCGAGTTTGTGGGACATCTTGGTTAGTCAGACAGAAGCCTGGCGAGCTTGTTCGACCGTGTTGCGTGTTCGATTGCTTCATGGTCCTCGTGGCTGGGGAGTGTTTGCTCTGTGGCTGGGTTGTTTCATGATATAGAATATTGTATGTTACATAGGTACCCGTTCTGCCTATCAGCGAAGTTATAAGACTGTTTGGCTGCGTTGAGAGCCGATTCGGATAATCCAAGGTTTGTGCGGATCAGCGGAGGTGTTGTGATTGCTTAAAAGCGAAAACCGCGTGCAAGACCCGGACCAGGACCGGAGACCCGGCGTCTGTTGACAAACTTCGTGTTTCTTTCTTTGTGTTTTTTCATAGTGTTCAATTTGGTTGAAAATAGCATTTGAATTTCACGTGAGTCAATGACAAAAAGATTGATGGGGTTGGGTTAGATCTATGTGCACATCGTACTGCAAAAAGCAGTTGTTATGCAGAACATGTCCAGTATTGCAGCAAAAATGAGGCAGTAATCTCAGCATACTTACGCCATGAATCTTAGTGCTCTAGAGTTTGGTGTGCTGTCATCACCAATCTTAATGTATGGAGACAATGAGTCACAAAATGATGATGTGAAGGTCATATCAGCTAGCATGAAAAGTAACAGTGATTTTAAGGTTATGCATAATTTGGCTCAGCCAGAGTTTGGTGATCACTAAGGTGAGCTCACTGTTGTGTGAGATTTCAGTGCTGTGGATGGATTTTTTCACTGTTGTGCAGGTTGTGCAGCCCTGTAAGCATGTGATTTTGTTGATTCTCAAATTTAGCTAATCCATAGCCTGTTAATGTGTTGGTCTTTGATTTTGCCAGCTGTGTGACAATGTTTACTGAACATTGGGACTAAGGTTAGGTGCCTGTTTTGCTGGATTGAGATGCTGCAGGTAATGCCTAGTTTTATTTTGTTCTGGGGGGGGGGGAGATGGAACATGCTGTCAATGATGACATTAGCTTTAGGTTTTGAAGTCAGGGTAACCTTACAGGTACTCAAGACACTATTGTGTCAGACATTTGATCTGGAGTTATCTTTGCCATTCCAGAGTTTGAGAACAGTGGTGTCTGATCAATAATCATTCAGCCATAATCCATGTGGCTTCTAAAGATTTGGAAAAGAGAGTTTTTGGTCAAATTTGGAGGACCTGTTATGTTCACCATCTGTAGTGATTTCTTCAAATCTTCCCTGACTGCCACTCACAGCAATTTCAAGGGTGTGTCAGATTCTGAGAGGACAGCAAGATGTAACAGTTATAAATAAATTATAGTTCTATGAGATGACAGGAAGCTGTGGCTGTTATAGTTTTTAAGCTGTAATTCAATTGATCCCCATGTGCTGGGGTTAGGATGCAAATGGTCTATGGTGTTGAGCCCGGACCCATTAGATATTTTCTTTTGCTGCTTACCAGGACTCATTACTAGGCAGGGCCTTGGGGAGAATGCTGAGAAATGTTGGCATTATAAAGCTGCAAGAAAATATCAAAAGTAATAATCAACATAAATATGAAAAGGATTTATAATTTTGCTCTCTTACATCAGTGCATTTTCCTGCAGCTCAAGATGAAGATTGAGGAAGTGAAGAGCACTACCAAAGCACAGCGTGTGTCGAGTCACAGCCATGTCAAGGGGCTGGGGCTGAATGAAACTGGCAAGGCAGTGACCTGTGCAGCTGGTCTGGTGGGCCAGGAGGAGGCTCGGGAGGTCAGTGTGATCAACTGTGATCATGTAATTACAGCACTGTGAACCACACTGGTTGACATTGAATGTTGCAGCTTGGAACACTAGGACACCAGGATCAGGATATGCCATGCTTTTGTGTACTTCTTCACTGGTGGTTGACACATTTTGCATGCAAACCACATGTACTAGTTGGGCATAACTTGCATTGTGACCAGGTGAACAATGTTGGAAGTCAGTCATGGGCTTGTGTACTGTTCTCATGCATTGTTGAACAATTTGGCTGCAGTTCATGAACTGATGTCCAATGTAAGGGTAGCATATCTGCAGGTGTTTTGATATTGTGACTACCGTGGCCACCGCCCTAATGGTGTCATTGCCATGTTCAGGCATGTGGCATCATTGTGGACTTGATCAAGTCAAAGCGGATGGCGGGCCGCGGAATCCTGCTGGTCGGGCCACCTGGCACTGGCAAGACAGCTGTGGCCCTGGCTGTCTCCCAGGAGCTGGGCTCTAAGGTACGCTGGGCACCCAGGAGCTCACTGCACTGAGGCCACAGGCCGCCTCCACGCACTGGCTCCAGGGTGGGATGATGGGATTGAGCTTTAGAAAGTAATGGCATATGCCTCCACAGCCATCCTGGATGTTATAATCAAAGTGCATGTGAGCATCTGCATGAGAAGAAGACAGTATCTTTAGACAATGGACAGTGTCTACTACTCATCCAGACACACCGTGAGGCATAGTGATCAGACGCCACGACTCGCACACGTCACGTGCGCTGATAGGTGATGACCCGAGTGTTGCGTTATCCGCCGCCCACGCTCTTTTAGAAATGCATTAGGCGTGCAGGTGTGTGAGCTCTAGACACCTACACCGCCAGTCTTGTGGCCATCTTCCTGTCTCATTGACACTCTTCCATCTTGGCTCATCCGCCGTGCAGTCTTTTGTGTGCGTCGGGTGTCACCTGTGATCACCTGTGAGCGTGGGGGTCGTGAACGGGAGGCCGGTTACAGGCCAAATGTGACCGTGCGGCCCTCCACTCATCAGACTGAGGCTAGTGGGTCTGTGTACCCTGTGCTGTCCTTGCTGGTCCGCGCGCGCCCGACCGGCTTGTGCTGATCCCTGCACTGTGCCGACCCGCGTACCGTGTCGCCCGTCTCATGCGGCGGCGCCCGTGCGCCAGGTGCCGTTCTGCCCGATGGTCGGCTCGGAGGTCTTCAGCTCGGAGATCAAGAAGACCGAGGTGCTGATGGAGAACTTCCGGCGCGCCATCGGGCTGCGCATCAAGGAGATGAAGGAGGTGTACGAGGGCGAGGTCACCGAACTCTCGCCGCAGGAGACCGAAAACCCGATGGGAGGTCAGTCTGGCTGGCGGTCACTGTCGGGTCTGTCTGGGCCACGGTGGGCCATAGCCTTCTATGTCCATCATGAACTGTGTGGTGCCTGCCTCTGGTCGATATACCGCGGGTCATGTCAAGCTTTGCGTCCCGGGTCACAGTAATGGACCTGAATCCCCTGCTTTAGGCTACGGCAAGACCATCAGCTCGGTGGTGATCGGACTGAAGACGGCCAAGGGCACCAAACAGCTGAAGCTGGACCCGTCCATCTACGAGTCGCTGCAGAAGGAGAAGGTGGAGGTGGGCGACGTCATCTACATCGAGGCCAACAGCGGCTCGGTGAAGCGGCAGGGCCGCAGCGACACGTTCGCCACCGAGTACGACCTGGAGGTGGGTACGGCCGTCGGCGGGGGCGAGCGTGCCGTGTGAACGGTGGCCGCCAGCTGGGCCTGCTGCTGTGCGGCTGGCTTGTCTGATTGCTTTCTGTCAGCATGGTGGTTATATGGGTTTTGGTCTGTGTTTGTTGTCAGCTCGTGCTCGACTCCGTTTCTGCAGGCATTTCAAGGCCCTGCTGTATGCTAGCATTATTTCGTGACAAAGTATGCAACCCATTGCCTCTTCTGCACAAAATGTAGCGTATGCTATGTGATATCACACACACGCACGCACGCACGCACGCACGCACGCACGCACGCACGCACGCACGCACGCACGCACGCGCACGCGCACGCGCACGCGCACGCGCACGCGCACGCGCACGCGCACGCGCACGCGCACGCGCACGCGCACGCGCACGCGCACGCGCACGCGCACGCGCACGCACGCACACGCACCACACACGCACACACACACACCACACACACACACACACACACACACACACACACACACACACACACACACACACACACACACACACACACACACACACACACACACACACACACACACACACACACACACACACACACACACACACACACACACACACACACACACACACACACATATATATATATATATATATATATATATATATATATATATATGACAATTACCACACAAGCACGAGCGATGCGCGATATGTTACGATGTCGATGTGTTCGATTCCTTGTAACCAATTAATAACAGGCGAGAGTTAGTCAATTATTTCCACTGAAATCGTGTTGGATCAAGATGATGAGCGCGCCCTGCCGAAGTTATGAAGGGTCTGGCTGCAGCCCGTGTCCGTGGCGCCCGTTCTGGCGTGAGCAGTGACTCGGGGAACAAGCTGGTAACGACCGATGTGGCCCCGCAGGCCGAGGAGTACGTGCCGCTGCCCAAGGGGGACGTGCACAAGAAGAAGGAGGTGATCCAGGACGTGACGCTGCACGACCTGGACGTGGCCAACGCGCGGCCGCAGGGCGGCCAGGACATCCTCTCCATGATGGGTCAGCTGATGAAGCCCAAGAAGACGGAGATCACAGGTGGGTGAGGGTCCGCTGGCGGCCAGGGAGGGTCTGTTGGCGAGCAGGGAGGGGTCCGCTGGCAGGCAGGGAAGAGTCCGCTGGCGGACAGGGAGGGGTCCGCTGGCGGGCAGGAAGGGGTCTGCTGGCGGGCAAGGAGGGGTCCGCTGACGAACAGGGAGAGGTCCGCTGGCGGGCAGGGGGGATCCGCTGGCGAACAGAGAGCGGTGCTCGGATGGGGTCCACTGGTCAGGGACTGGTGCCCGGATGGGGTCCGCTGGTCAGGGGGCGCGTGCTCAGTCTCCGGGTAAGTTCGCATCCTCAGTGTTCGATGTGCATGTCTTGTTGCTTGGGAACAAATCCAGTGACTGCAAAGCACTGGATGGGATGGCGATGTGGGTCAGATGCCGTTTTTAATTCCGACTGCATGCACACCAAAAGGCCTTCGCTAATTTTTCAGGCTTATGAAGGGTGTACGGTGAGCAGTACTGCTGCCCAACGCTTCCTCGCCCGTCAATCCGCCGGGTCGCACCAAGATATGGTGTGACATAAGTGATGACGCTCACGATGGGCCGTTATTCGAACCTGTGCGTGAGTCAGACATCGCTGTTTTTCCCCCAACAGACAAGCTGCGACGGGAGATCAACAAGGTGGTGAACAAGTACATCGACGAGGGCATCGCCGAGCTCGTGCCGGGTGTGCTGTTCATCGACGAGGTGCACATGCTGGACATCGAGTGCTTCACCTACCTGCACCGCGCGCTGGAGATGACCATCGCGCCCATTGTCATCTTCGCCACCAACCGGGGCAACTGCGCCGTCCGGTGGGTGGCTTCCGAACCCACCCAGCATGGTGTCGTGGTCAGGCATGGACGAGAAAAGGCAGCTTCGTCTTCGCGAAGATGCAGTTTTCCTCTGATGGTTTCGGATTGGGCTTTGCTATTCGCTATGGCTAGTTTCGGCGTTTTCCATTTGATTCTTTTATCCGTCACCGGCGCTGCACTGCTGTCTGTGGAACGATCGCATTTACCGGTATTGTGCGTTGACCCTCTCGCCACGGGTATCCCTCTTGCCAGGGTTCCCCTTGCTGGCGGTTGGCCGCGAGCGCTGGCGGTTCGGCCCGCACCATCGGTGCGAGCGCCGCCGGCCGGTCCCCAGCGCCGGACGTCCGCCGCATCCTCCCCCGCTGACTCATTGGCCGCCGGCCGGTCCCCAGCGCCGGACGCCGGCCGCGTACTCTCCCGCCTGACTCATTGGCCGCCAGGCCGGTCCCCGGCGTCTGACGCCGGCCGCATCCTCCCCCGCTGACCACACCACTGGCCGCCGGCCGGTCCCCAGCGCCGGACGCCGGCCGCGTACTCTCCCGCTGACTCATTGGCCGCCGGCCGGTCCCCAGCGCCGGACGCCGGCCGCGTACTCTCCCGCTGACTCATTGGCCGCCGGCCGGTCTCCAGCGCTGGACGCCAGCCGCGTCTTCCCCCGCTGACGCACTGACCGCCGGCCTCCGTTCCCAGCGGCTGATGCTGGCCGTGTCCTCTCCCGCTGATCACGCCACTGACCGCCGGCCTCCGTCCCCAGCGGCTGCGAGGACGTGGTGTCGCCGCACGGCATCCCGCTCGACCTGCTGGACCGGCTGCTGATCGTGCGCACGCTGCCGTACAGCCAGGAGGAGATGACGCAGATCATCCAGATCCGCGCACAGACCGAGGGCCTGGCCGTTGACGAGGCGGCGCTGCAGGCGCTGGGCCAGGTGGGCGCCGACACGACGCTGCGGTACGCCGTGCAGCTGCTGACGCCGGCCAGCCTGACGGCGCGCGTCAATGGCCGTCAAGCCATCAGCGCCGCCGACCTGGCCGAGGTCGGCCAGCTCTTCCACGACGCCAAGGCCTCGGCCAAGATCCTGGCCGCCAACAGCGCCAAGTATATGAAGTGAGGCGGCGGTGTGGCGACCGGCTCAAGGTCACGGACTGGGTGGGCCGCGTGGGCCGACTAACGCCCGCAGACTGGGATTTCGATTTGTGCATCGTGTAGTCATTGTTCGACGCTTGTGTTGTCATTCATTCCATGCTGTTCGACACAAATATACCATAAATTTAAGGGATGGTTCTGGGTGGCCAGGTCGGCATCGCAGCGAGCTGGTCATCGGCGTTCGGTTCGGCGATGTGGCCGTGTGGGACCTTGTCGCGGTACTCCATGCCTGCTGGCGTACTTCACTTACCTCCCGGCTCACCAGTGCTGGTTGAATCCTCTCATGGCACTTCAGTCAGCACGTCCATCACTCACTGACCGAGCTGAATGCTGTAGTGAAGCTGGACTGCGTGACGGGGCCGGCGCCCCCGTGTCTTATGTATGCGCAACGGTTGATCCGATGATCGGCTGGTGTCACGTATAGAAAGAACCTGAGGATCAGACCTCTCACAGATGGTGCACATGGCATGCCTTGCTCTTTTTCTGTGACGCACCACAACATGAACCATATGGTCTGTACAAGCGGCCCAACAGAACAACCGAAAAGACACACGACTGGCAAATATGCAAGTTCCTGCTCTCTGAATCCGCTTGAGAGGGCAATGACCCAAACAAGGCGCTTTGACACTGACACTGGCGGCGGCCTGACAGTTCATTGCTGCGGGACATGCGACACCGCGCACGGCGCCCGGCCACTGAAGAAGAGCTTAGTCAGCATCCAGTCCTCGACGGCCTGGGGCGACAGAGCCAGCTGGCCGGTTGCGGACGCCTGGTGCCAGCAGGGGCAGGTGTCGGCGGCGGCGGCCGCCCACTCCAGCACTCCCCCGGCGCCGGCGGCGTGGTAGGGCTGCCGCTCGGTCAGAGTCCAGCGGCTGGCCGTCGACGTCTGGGGCGTCGCCTGGCGGGGACGCGGACCCCGCGGTCAGGGCAGCGGCCGGCGGGGCGGCGACACGCTCCGGCGGGCGACCCGAGCGCGCCGCCAGGCTCGGACAGACAGGTACACGCTGGACTGAGCACACGCTCGCTGCGGCACCCCACACGGCCTACGGGTGATAGCAGCCCCCGCCGTACCATCGGCTGGCGAACGGGGCGCTGGGGTTGGAAGCATGACACTTGGTTCCTGATGTCCCCGTGGTCTGATACAGAGGGAAGGCGTCCACAACGGGTGACGGGTCATGCGGCGCGTCGAAGGATTCTGTTCGCCTAACTGTCTTGCCCCGACCGCACCAGCTCAGTTTAGCTCGGTGCTGTCCACCGATATTCGTGATTTGAAGCGCCCGGCCTTCTTTGTTACTCAGCACTCATCTCCACAACGACACATACCTATTTCCATGGGAGAGATGATACAACGAACGACATGGAGATGATGAGTGTAACTCGGGGGGGGGGGAGATTAGGTAGGATGACGTGTGTACAGCCTCCGCGCGTACTCCTGACCAGAGATGGGGACAGTAGGGAGGACGCCGTTTGGACACGCCGGGACAGTCCGACAATCAACGGCCACCAACTACACTGAATGCTGCATGAGGGCACCCGTCTCATGCTTCTCCATAGAACTGCCCCAGTATGCAGTCAATGGTCTAGCTCAGATGCGCGCTGTGTCCCCGTCTGTGACTTTCACTGCCTCCGTGTTACTGGTTCCGCTGTAGTGTGCTGTGTACTACCTGAGCCGTCGTATGCCATCTGAGTTGCCGGGGCCGCAGTGTTGTGTGCAGGGAGCTGTGGACTGCGCCGTCCTCGACGCTTTCAGGGATGCCTGGGACACTGGCCTGTGATGCCGGATGGACGGAGCGGGCAGCGGCACAGCGTGCTCCGCTGCTCCCGCCACTCTCGGGGGTGGGCCCGGCCACTGACCTGCGGTGCCGGCTGGACCGGAGCGGGCAGCGGCGCAGCGTGCTCCGCTGTTCCCGCCACTCTCGAGGGTGAGCCCGGCCACTGACCTGCGGCGCCGGCTGGACCGGAGCGGGCAGCGGCGCAGCGTGCTCCGCTGTTCCCGCCACTCTCGAGGGTGAGCCCGGCCACTGACCTGCGGCGCCGGCTGGACCGGAGCGGGCAGCGGCGCAGCGTGCTCCGCTGTTCCCGCCACTCTCGGGGTGGGCCCGGCCACTGACCTGCGGTGCCGGCTGGGCCGGAGCGGGCGGCGGCGCAGCGTGCTCCGCTGTTCCCACCACTCTCGGGGGTGGGCCCGACCACTGACCTGCGGTGCCGGCTGGGCCGGAGCGGGCAGCGGCGCGGCCGGCTCGCCACCGGGCGGGGGCGCCGCGGCCGGCGGCGCCGCTGACTGACTCAGCGGGCCCGACGAGACGTCCGAGGTGTGCCGGGTGACAGGGCGGGAGAGCGGCCCGGACGAGGTGACGCCCGTGGCCGGCGCCGCATCGAAGCTGCAGCAGCGCGTCGGAGGCCCCTCACGCTCCGTCTGCGTCTCACAGTCGACCGACTGCGGCGGAAAGGTGCGCGTGCTCCGGGCGTTGTCCAGGTGGTGTCGGAGCTTTTTGATCGACTTTTTGCTGTTCTCCAGCTTCAGCTCCAGACACCGCATGGCGCTGACCATGGTGCCATACTTCAGCTCCATGTCTGCCGCCTTTCGATGCTGCCTGGCCAATCGCTCCTTCTGTTCCGCGCAGATGGCGGACAGCTGCTTGTTAGCATCGCACACTTTCTTCATCTTGGTGCGCGTCTCGTTGGCCTGTTCGCAGTTGGCGTCCTCGGCCTGCGCTAGCCGCTGGCGGAGGTGTTCCATCTCCCGCGCCAGTCGGCTGTTCTCCTGCGTGAAAGACCAACGCTCTCGTATCAGGTGGTGCACCTGGCTCTCTTGCTCCTTGACTACGTCATTGAGCTCGTCACGCTGGTGGCACGCCTCTGTGAACTGATGGACGATCAGAGCGATCTTCTCCTTGTCGTTCTGGTCCAGGTCGGCGAGACGGGGTGGCGGCGCCGCGGCCGGTGCAGCCATCCGCTTAGCCAGAGCGCGCCTTGGGGATGCCATTGGGGGATTTCTTCTGCATCGGTCAAGTGGCTAATAATGCGGGGTAGCACACGGTGATGTACCTGTCTGATGCACCGTTCGCTTTTTAAGCAGTGGTGCATCGAACCAAATGCGTGCTTACTTTAAAGAGACATCACAATTTAATGAACACGCGCTCATGTCTTGTAATCCAGATACGAATGATGGTAGATTATAACATGCCATGCAAGTCACATGCCTTTCCACGAGGTCACGCATTCAGTGATCGAACCGCAGTGCGAGGATGTTTCCACATTGTAGTTTTAAGGATTGAGAAAGAGCGGCACATTAATGTAGATACTGAGTGGTCAAACGAAAAATAACCACGCGTACTTTGGATGAAAATAAATATTGATCCGATCAGCTGGCGACATTCTAAAAACGAAACTGCAACATTCCTGTTCTCGTGATTCGTTCTGACTGGTCTTCCGCTAATGCGATGTTCGATCATCCATAGGCCAGTGTTGAAGGTAAAGACTAGATAAAAATGAGCATGACATTTGTATTTCAAAGGCAAACGGTTTTTAAAGTTGTGATCGTCATCCACTTCATCAATGCCACAGACTCATAATATACTTATAGTGCTTGTAAACGATGTTACTTTATCACGATCGCATGTTTTGATATGATGTTCCAACATACAATGCTTAGATGGGCTTCAAATGGCAGGAACAACAGACAACACAAACTGCCACGATGACATCGCTGCCGAATGTCATCGCAGATTGCCTTACGCAACATATTGCACCAAAATATCGCATGCGGCAAGGGACCCACAGTTGACACCTACACAACAGGCAACATTTTCAGTTTACAAGCCATCAACTTTCCGTCCGATCCTGGAGTACATGAGAAGTTGGACGCCACGTTTAAAACGCTACGGTGACTATCCATGCGATGCGTTATCACGTGGGGACGGCGAAAATCAGATGGGACGCCGCGCGTGACGTAATATCTCGAATGTCGGCGACCAATCGCAGTTCGTTACGAGGCACTGAGTTGATTGTTGTTCACTCACACTGGGTAAAGAGCAGTGACCGCAGATGGCAATCCTCAAGACTACCCACCTCACCTCACCACCTCCGCACCCACCACTCTTCGTTTTTACGAGAGAAAGGTAGGGCTGTTGGACCATCAGCTTGTCACATGTGGTATCAGAAACCTAGGGCAGCTGCCACCTTCAGTCCGGTCTCTGAGCCGCCCCAGTCGTGTTAGCGAACAGCTACCTGGGGCTCCTGCTGTACAGCGAGCACGTGGCCATGTCACTCCAACGACCCCTGCAGAAGACACCCGTCATGCAGGGAGACAGCGCTCCGTAGTCCGACACTGGGAACGCCGCTGGCAGAGTCTAGAAAGACGGCAGATGGCAGATGACCGCGGCGAGACTCCTGTCGCGCCCTCAGACCATGCTCGGGAGCCGAAGTGCCGATGCTGGAAGTCGTGCAGCGTCTCGACCGTCGCCGCTGCGGCCGTGTTGGCTGCCGCTCAGCGGTCACCGACAGGTCACGTGGGCGGGTCCGGGCGTGAGATCGGTCGGCACGCGCCGTCTGTCTCCGCGGGTCCGCTACAGCCGGCAGGCGAGGCAGCGCATGGCCGCCTGCCTGATGCGCTGGCTCAGGCTGGGCGGCGGCCGCTCGACCGAGAGCACGGAGGGCGCGGCCGGCCGCCAGGGCGGCGGCGTGACTGGCGGTGACGGCGGCGACGGCGACTCGGGCGGCGACACGTGCGGCGAGGCGCCCGTCCCCGTGTCAGGCACCTGCTGTGAGTCGAGCACGGCGTCAGAACACCGACGCTCCACTGCCAGGCTCAGAGGCCGTCCCCGGCCGACCGCCGAGCGGGACTACAGAACCAGACTCCATCACTAGTCTAGAAGGAGGCGTAAGGATCCCGCATACACTTTTGATCGACCAGTTCCCGCATATTATCTCGCTACGAATATCTCCATCGCATCATCCACATCCATTTCCATTTCCATCCATCTCCATCGCGGCCACAGCTTCACCAATGCCGCAACGTCGCCCAGGCAAGTTCGGTTTCCATGCGCCACATTTTTGCGAAGACTGCGCTGGTTGTGCCGCCGCCTGTGCGCGTGCGCCAGGTCTCCGTCCCTTGATCGCCGCGCATCCAGTCCAGCCAGCCCGGGGTGTCTCTCTCGCCTTGAAAGCGCTGCACCGTCATGCGACCGATGCGCCCGAACCACACCGTAACCCTCACCACCACCACTCACCTCGAGCTGCATCTTCTCCTCGATGAGGACCGTCGAGGGCCGGTCCTCGGGCGGCAGCAGGTGGCTGACCTGGCGCACCAGTTCGTCGGCGCGTCGCGTCCAGTCCACGCTCTTGCCCCGGCCGCCGTGGCACCCGACACCTGCAGCGTGGGTGTCGGGAGGGAGGGGGAGGGGCACCACCGGCGTAGTCACGTCACAGCTACTGTCGGGAAAATCGGGATCTACGGGGCTTGGTTTGGTCTGGATTACAGCTTTCGATGGACAGCGGCCGTTTGAGGCCAGTACGATAAAGAGAGGTACGTAGTGGAGAAATACTGCGGCCATCGTGGGAGACCTCCATCATTGAGCCTCACCTCGTGCATGGACCCTTCTTTGCCAGTTGTGAGGCGTTCTGGCTTAACTTTCCCTGACTCCCCATCCCAAACGCCAACCAATGTCCCGCCCTCCCATCCCGTGGTATTACCCGTGACGGAGCGACAACGGACACCTGACAGAGCGCACGCGGCGTCACACTGACGGTTTGATGGGTAGATGGCGTGGAACACTGAATCAGGTCAATCACCAAAGGCAAAGCTTTGACGTCTACGTGTCAAACGTGTCAAACGTGTTAATCGTTATGCAAGGGAGTTATGCCCCCATCCCCCACCCCCACCCCCACCCCCACACCCATCCCCCACTCCCCACCCATGGCGGCAACCCGGGAAGAAGGTCTCTTCACCTTCAGAATCAGATCAACAGTCCAAAAGACGACAAGCCGAACGTCACGGTGGCAGTTCCTCACTCTGGCGCGACTTTTGGTGTTTTCCTCTGTCTGGGAATTATCTGCTCACCAGCGAAGTCGACGTAGACGAGCTGGGAGAACACGAGCGCCAGCGAGCCGGCCGGCGGCCAGGCTATGCGCTCCAGCAGCACGGGGACTATCCGCAGCTGCAGCAGGTCAGCCAGATGCGCCTCACGCAGGCACAGCTGGGACTTCAGGTACTGCTGACTCAGGCACGCCACGAATATCTGCCGACACAGCTGGGATTTCAGGTACTACTGACTCAGGCATGCCACAAATATCTGCCGACACAGCTGGGATTTCAGATACTACTGACGCAGGCACGCCACAAATACCTGCCGACACAGCAGATATTTGACACACCGCTGGCTTAGGTGCCTATTCCGAACCTCCTGCGCACCGCCGGACCCAGCAACGACAGGTTCCCACTCCTGCCGCCAGCCATGCCGAGGCCTAGCAGACCACAGAGCAGTGCCACGGCCGTTAAACCGCCAGCGACAAGACCAGCCTCCCGCCGGTCAAGCCCCCAGGGCCTGTTCACCGGCGCACCTTGGCGCTGCTGATGCCTTGGTAGATTTTCTCGTACAGGAGGTCGCCGCCGCCCATCTGCCCGACGTCCATCCAGCAGCGGAGGCCGCTGCGCTCGAGGCGGCCGCGCAGCCGCGCCGCCTCCTCCTGGTGGTCCCACTGATAGCTGACGAACACTGGCGCCGGACTGGTGGGCTCTGCGGTGGCCGGCGGCGTCAGAGAGGGTCCGGCCGGCTCGCCAGACCGCCGGTGCCGGCCTGACAGGCTCTGCGGCGTCGGAAGGGGCACCGGCACCAACCGCAACCTGCTGGGACGCTGCCCTTGTCCGGTGGGCCAGGGACGAGCGCGGCAAAACGTGCTCAGCTGAACGAGGAAGACTCGGCGGTGGCGGCTGGCAGGATATGCGGATCACTTCATAGCTGGCTGTATTGATAGAGGTATGCAGAACAGGCAATGTAGTATAAGCAGACATCACGAGGACCATGTACTCTGTCCGCGCAACGAATACGAGAGAGCTCAGAGCCTGTGAGAGAATGTGGAGCCTGGGACCCACGCTGTCGGATACGCGAAAGCAGACCCACGACCCACGACCCACGCTATAGGGAACTACGCTATAAGGACTCGCGAAAATAGACAGACGGGACGGCATCGCTCTGCCTAAGCCCCGCCATCTCACGCGGCATGCGTGTCCCCCATCCCACACGACCCCCGCGTCCCGCCATCCCACACGGCCCCCGCGTCCCGCCATCACGTTCGGCCTCCGTGTCCCGCCATTCCACACTGCCTCCGTGTCCCACCATCCCACACGGCCCCCGAGTCCCGCCATCCCACACGGCTTCCGTGTCCCGCTATCCCACACAGCCTCCGTGTCCCGCCATCCCGCTCGGCCCCCGCTCGCAGCCGTGCGGTACGCACTGTTAACGGCGCGCAGCACGCTGCAGACGTCCTCCCGCGCCAGCCCGTCCAGCACGGCGCACAGCATGTCCAGGCTGAAGCCGTTGTTGCCCGAGATCTGCAGCCAGTCGGTGATGAGCGCCAGGCCCGGGTCCAGGCAGTCGTCGAACTCGGTCAGCTTGTGGTCCCGGTACCCTGTCGGCGAGGGGAGGGGGCGGGAGGATTAACCAACTGCCACGATGGGCGACAAGAGAAGGCCGTGCCCAAGTTGTTTCCCATGATATGCTCGTCCTCATTTTCGATACCCAAATTAGACTTGGTGCTGTTCGCCCCGCCACCTTGAGGATGGCAATGTCAAATGCAATGGAAAATGTTCGCTGCATCGCCATATTTGCGAAATAGCTTACTACGTCTTTTCAATGCCCGATAAACATAAATAAAAGCATGTGATAAAAGACCAAGGAACATAAAGACGATAACACGTAACAAACGTCATCAGATCGGCCTCTACAATCACATGATATCAACACACTGGCGCACCGCGCGCCGCCAGGAAACAGTAAGGTGTAAACAGAACGCGGCTTCACAGTGAGCAGGTGATCAGCTAACGTCGCGCCGCCCTGCCGTTTGGCAGCGCACCTATCTTCTTGGCGACGGCCTGCCAGTCGGAGCCGGAACCGCCGGCGTTGAGCAGCTTGGCCGCCTGTTTCAGCCAAGGGGGCGCCATTTCGGAGCTCATGGGTTCGTGTCGTACCGAGTAGCGGGCCGGCAGCACCGGCGCCAGGTTCAGCTCTGCAGGCAAGGTCATCAGTGAGGCTTGGCTGGGCACTGGCGCGGCGCCGAGGACGGCGTCGTTGCGGCTCGGTCCCGGCATCGAACACATGAGTACGCGAATAATAGCGCCTGAAACGGAGCTCAGCGCGGACTTGCCTTCTTAGATGGGACTCAGACACGGTGACACCGCCAGTCACGAAACAGCACCGAGACGCCGGAACTTTGTGCACGCGGTCAGCCTGCCGTTCGGCACCTGGACCGATCTTGTGCCGGTCTGGCGGCCGCGCCGGTCACGCTGCCCCACCTGCCGGCCTGTCCGGGTCCCGGCGCTCGAAGAACCGCCGCAGGTGGTCGACGGACACCCTCCTGAAGTCGCAGTAGACGGTGTCGCCCGACAGGCACTGGTTCAGCGGCAGCGTGTGCAGGCAGCCGGGCTGGGGGCAGCCGGCGGCGCGGTGGGCGGCGCACGGCCGGCCGCACGGACACCCGACGGTGAAGCGCCACTGCAGCCGGCGGCAGAGCCGCACCCGCACGTCCGCTAGCGTGGCGTCCAGGCGCCGGTGGACCTGGCACAGCGGGCGGAACGGCTCACTTCACGCCGGGGCATGGGGCCGTCTGGCCGGAGGTGCGGAGGTGCCGCAGCAGGTCACCCTGCCGCACCTGGGACAGCGGGCGCCGCTAGACGCACCAGCGTAAGGTGCGCTAGCACTGCACTATTTTATGACGTGTCCGTCTGGTATCGTTGGGATAATTAGCATTGCGACCCATCCGCCGGCATACGTGATGCAAAGGACAACACGGTACCCGGAACACAACGGAGAACTAAAGCCAGCAAATGGAAGGGTATCTGGTACTCATGATGAATGCATGATATATCGATTATTGCCGATGTCAAGCTAACGGTGCTGGATTGGCGATCCCGGGCTCTAAGTGGCGTCGTGTCCAGTAAAGGTCCCACCAGCTCCGACCAAGGCCGGCGTCAACCTGGCCTGGGTCAGTCATTTTCCGGACCCATGTGACCTTCCAGCAACCTTGATCATGACGCGATTATTTATGATCTGCGACAGGACAGTTCGCTCTGGTGTCTCGCCCAGCGTCCCCGACGAACCCCGAGCCGGTGACGTCACTCAGTGAACCCCTGACGCTCTACCAGTGACGTCATCGCCGGAATGGCGTCACCGGGAGGTCACCGCGCAGCGCTGACCTGCAGGCAGACGTCGGCGCTGGGCGCGCCGGAGCCCTCGGGCAGGGCGGGGTACGAGTCGAGGCCGTCCTCAAGCGCGCCACACAGCCTCGCCACCGTCACCTGTCGGCGCGGCCGCCGCTGGTAACCCGAGCACGCAGTCGTCGGCGGTCGGACGGCGTCGACGGACGGCGGGACGGACCGGAGTGGGTCAGACGGCGGAGGCGGCCAGGGTCACATGGGCAGCAGGACAGGCTGACCAGAGCCGGAGCGGATCAGTCGGCGGAGGTCGGACTGCACCGGATCGGACCGGAACCGACCAGATGGCGACGGCGACCAGGGTCACATGGGCAGCGGGACAGGCTGACCAGAGCTGGAACGGGTCAGTCGGCGGCGGTCGGACGACACCGGATCGGACCGGAGAGGGTCAGGCGGCGGCGGTCGGACGACACCAGACCGGACCGGGCCGGGTCAGACGGCGGAGGTCGGACGACACCAAACCGGACCAGGTCGGGTCAGGCGGCGGTGGCGAACAGGGTCAGATAGGTAGCGAGACAGACAGGCACCAGACAGACAAGTGATGGGGCAGATGCAGAGCGGACAGACATGCGAGCGGGATTACAGACAACGGGACGGGCCGGCACCGGGACAAGAAGGGCGAGATGTGTTAGATCACAGGGTTCATTGATATTCTTAACACTGGAATGTCTTAGCGTTATTGGCATAATGTTTTTGCGTCATTGAGTAAGAATTTAGACAAGGACTGGCTTACATAAGGTCTCTGCACGCTGGGAGTTCCTGGTCAATTCCTCATTCAGGAAAAAGGTACTAAGTGGAGATGGAGCAAAGCCCCGCCTTCGTTTGCCAGTGGCGCCCAGCCAATTAACAGCCTCATGTGTGTGCGAAAGGCATGGAGATGTCCCAGATTTGGATCGGGTCGGGCCCGATGTCAGGTGTTTTGAGACGCAATAATTTTTTTGCGATGTGATACCGTCAAATTATCTGCCTTTGGCCTCTAAAACATCATCTTGGACATAAACTAGCCCGCCTCCGGGTGATGTCACGGAATTTAAGCTGTGAGACAACTTCTCACCAGCTTCCTCCTGGTGTCTTCCTTCCCATACACACACACATGCGTACGCACGCACGCACGTGCCCACGCACGCACGCACGCACGCACGCAAGCACACACACGCACACACACGCAAATATGTATATATATATATATATATATATATATATATATATATATATATATATATATATATTCTACATGCCCTTTCCCGCCCAAATTCAGGGGCTGATCGGAAAATCTTGCCCATGAGACCACTGGGAGGAGGCCTCTGAACAGCATAAAAGGAAAAATAATCATGGGCAACAATGATGCCATTAATAATCGGAAACAGCGGCAGCAGCATGACGAGCATCCATCACAGTATCACATCATCACATCACATCATCACGACATCACACTGGGCAGTACCTGCACCCTGGCCAGGTGGAGGGCGGCCACGTGGAGTGCTAGCTCGTGGGAGGCGTCCACGAAGAACTGGGCCCGGTCCAGGGAGACGGCAGGCGGCCGGTGGGAGCTCTCCTGCGTCCAGACCGCCAGCCGCACCACCAGCTGGCTGACCACGCTGGCTGGAGAAGTAGCGTGCGACACGTTATCGTGCGGCACCGCGTCATCTCAGGCACCTAACCCGTGTCTACACTAGCCCCATGTCGTGTATATCCTGGTCCGTGCTCCCCGATCTCAGTGTGGTTACTACAGGCGTTGTGAGACAGGAGGCTGGCCGCATATCCGACACTACGGGCAGCAAAATTTGCTCATTGAACTTGACTGGCCAGGGGTGCCAGGGCTTCGAGCAAAATTTAACCAAGCGTGCCCTTGGTATCAAGCTGCCGAGAAAATGGGCGCTTATTAAACACGTGGTTGTGCACGTCTGTACGTACATTTGTGAGTTGTATTCGGCTGCTTTGTTTATCATACGAGTCTGTTTAGAAATGTGCATCAGCGTTTCCAGGGACGTGACCAAACCCAACCATAACGTTTTTATTCCAAGCAATGTCTCCGAAGAGACTGGTGCCATTCTCCAGCGCCTAGCACCGTTCGACTACGCTACCACTGGCCACGGTCGAAACGGCCTTCCAAAAGAGCTAGCCGATGTTTAAGCTGTCCACAGCCCGTTAACGATGTCAGAAAGCTCGTGCCTGTTTAAGCCGCGCGCCCACCTATCTAAACAGTGCGTCAAATTCTTTCACCATCCTATTTGTTCACCTTCAGTACTTTTTCCTAGTCAAGCAGTGTGCGCATTTTGGGACCGCATTCGGCGCCGTCAAACTACGGTAAGGTTGTGGCACACCACTTCCCGACGGAAATCACAAGAAGATTAAATCTTAGTACCTAAGAAATCGGTAAAGGTGAAAATAGTAACGTACTAGGAGACTCATTACGGTCCTCCTGTCAGTTAGAAACCCGCAGCAAAGCCGTCACAGGAACAATGCCCTTCGCATTTCAGCAGAATACGCAGACAATATCCAGAACTAGTCCGGCAAGAAAACCCGTCGGCAGCTCGGGTCACGCTTACCGGGCAGGAAGCCGCAAAAGTCTATATAGAACGTGAAGGCGTCGGCCGAGTCGCGTGTTGGCTCCGTCGAGTCTGCCCGACTCGTGATGAGACAGGGCATCAGCAGCATCTTCGGCAGAGCTACGCTGTCGGCCAGGTCTGATGACAGGACAGAGCGTGACAGAGCGGCACCCGAGAAGCCAGGTGAGTACTGCGAGTGGTCAGACAAATGTCCCTGTGAAATGCTGGTTCAAGCCAAATGCTCCTGCAACTGACGACGGCACCAGCAGCCATCACGACACAAAGGTAAGCGTTTAGCAATTTTTTTTTCAAGCGCTGCATCAGGCAAAGCATGACGCAGTTCTATCTACATCTCGTCGGACGACGCGGTATGACTGGCATGAAACTGAAATATAAAGACATGCTTTTTGTGGTAAACAATCAGCGCACAGTCTTTCGGCAAATTCTACTCCGCCTGGGGGCGCAAACTGAGGGCACATATTTCTGCAGTTTGCGTTGGCGTTAGCCGTGCTTTCACCACGGGAGGCCGCCCTGTAGAGCGTCATTATCCAGCGACAGCCTATTCTTGAGCTTCGGCCAATGTTTTCCAGCAAAGACCGACGGCTGGGTTAGCTCCAGTCATCGTGAGTCATCACCTAGTGCGACCCCCGGAAGGCTGAGAGGTGGCGGGGGCGGACGCTCCCTCGCCGTGTTATACATTCCACATACGCCTACGCAGCAGGGGTGAAGTGAGCTAGTGGGTCGGCTTCGCGCCGGGTGCAGAACAATTCGCACACGTCCAAGATATGCGCCTACGCCTACGTAGCAGGGGCGAAGTAAGCTAGTGAGTCGCCTCCGCGCCGGGTGTAGAACAATTCACACACACCCAGCTACAAACGCGCTTCGACAACCGTCCACCCCCACACATATACACCCACGCAGATACACCCCCACGCATCTGCTGCAGTGTGTACAAGCGCACACGCACTCAAGCACGCATAACGAGCGCACAGTGGCGCAGGTATCACGCGAGCGCACGTGATGCCACCGACGCCCGTCCGGCGCCAGCGCCTCACCGTAGAGGCCGGGCGGCGGCGCCAGCTGACAGAGCAGCCCCAGCCGCTGCAGCACGCCCAGCGAGACGGCGTCGCTGGTCAGGTCGTCCCACTGGCGCGTCAGCAGGCCCGCCTCCACCACGCCCTCCGTCTCCAGACGGCGCCAGCCGCTCGGTGCCGACTGCACGGGCGTCACGCCGTCAGCGCGCGACAGCGCAGAACGACACCAGGCGTCCAGGCCAGTTTCCAGTTAGTTTCGATTAGAGTGCAGTGATATTGGGCTGCGCTACTCAAATGTGAAATGACTGCATGCGCACGCGCACACAGTGATAAGCCTACAAGGCGGACAACCGCATTTGCAGTGGGTATTCAATCCGACCGCTCGGCGAGATTTGGACCCGTGTCCCCAAGAGGTCACTCGTTTTGCATTTAACTCACACCTTCTTTAACCGTTCGGCCACAATAGCATTGCGTCCTCAATGCTGGTCTTTTACGAAGCTAATGCATTATCTGCAGCGGGGATGTGCGCACCCACGCACGTAGTGCAAGCATCGCGTGAACTCTTTACCGGAATTCGACGGTCATAGAGAACAATTCACATTCTGCATGCTTGTGTTCGTCAACAATGGTCTGCCATGTTGTGGTGGAAACGAATTCGTCGATAGGGGGGGGGGGCTGCTTCTCTGACATACGCTTATTGATGGTCAACGAGACTCCGCGTGAGCATGTCTCGTAACCAGCCTGTCTCCTCACTTGATAGTATTTCCGTTTTGCTCTGATGACGTCAGCGATCAGCTGAACGAGCCACTGCGGCGAGAGCAGCACGAGCCGGTGCTCGGCATCGCCGTGGTACAGCAGACTGCCCTGGTCATGGTGGAACTGCAGGAAGGTGGTCAGCTCCTCGCCCGCCACCTCATGTTCGGCCGCCATCGTTTCCACCTGTCACGGCCGAAGCGCTGGTTACGTCACTCATGACGTCATGTAGCGGGGCGAGCTCCAGGTGCCCACAAATGATGTACGAAGAAACGTTATAATTGATGTTACGTGATAACCTACAGTCACAGATGGTTATTAAGATGACAGGACAGTGCATAAGGCCTCGAGCTCGTGCATTTTGCCGTGTCTCTCACATTACGGCATCAATTTGAGAGATGAGACGGGTCGCATCCTAACTATGTATCGATGACTTACACCGTTTCATGGACTTCCGATGCCAGCATGTTCGTCGCAAGGCAGCGGCGGTTGACCGGCTCAGAACAACACTGACGCCTTTGGGCATCACAACATCTCGTTCACCACGTCAAAAAGGGGCGTGAATTGTGTCCACCCCGCGCCGTATACCCTGCAGTAGCTTAAGAGTGAGCTTTGGTTACTACCTTATACCAGTCTGACCCTTAAGAGCGCGCCTCGAACGCGTTCAGCCCCCTCGAGTGCCCGGCGCCGGCGCACCCACCTCGTCCAGGGTGGCGACCACGAGACCGGCGCGGACGCGGCGGGCCACCTCCTCCTCCAGACTGAGCCAGCGGACGGGAACCCTCTCGCCCATGTGAGCCTGGGCCAGCATGAGCCGGGCGGCGCAGGCCCGCAGCGCCGCCAGTTGACTAGCCGCCCGGGACAGCGGCAGCGTGAACACTTCGCCGTGCACGTGCCGGCCGCACAGCTGCCCCTGGAAGACGTGCTGCAGTCGCTGCCGCATTTGCTGCAGCTGGAACGGACGCGCGCGGCTTCAGCGGGATGTGACAGTGGGGGATTAAGTAGCAACAGTGCCCCCAACTCAAACGTACATCTCAGTCTGGGTCAAACTGGGTCCGTCTTGCTCCAGACGTGGGCCTTACCTCGGTCTCGGTCAGGGTCGTCTGGTCCCCCCCCCCCCCCTCCAGACATGGATCTCAACTCGGTCTTGGTCGGGGCCACCTGGTCCCCGCCCTCCCCTAGAAATGGACTTTACCTCGGTCTCGGTCGGGGCCGCCTGATCCCCGCCCTCCCCCTAGACATGGACCTCACCTCGATCTCGGTCGGAGTCGCCTGGTCCTCGCCCTCGCTCCAGACGCCGACGAGCAGCACAGGTGGCGCCACCGTCTCCTGGCCAGCCATCGCCGAGCGCCGTCGTGGCACCGGCAGTGGCCGCGGCGTGGATCAGCTGTACCCAGTCCACCAGCTGGTCCAGGCGGGTGCGACCTTCCACCGACACGTCCCGAGCCTAGGGTAGAGCCAGCCCTCAGCCGCGACCACAGCCAGTTGTGCGGCGTCCCGTCCCTCCCGGCTATTCGGTGGTCCACGCAGTATACGATGGGTAGGATTGGTTTAGTTTGGAGTTAAATTTCTTCTGTGGAGGGCCAGATTTACCAAAATGCCCTCATATCTTAGTGCCACAAGGTCGGCAGCAAAGACAAAGCACGACAAAAGAATGTGTGAAACTAGAGCGCGCCAGTCCCAAAGTCCAGCAAATGCAGGGTATGCGCTTTCGAAACCAATCAGTCCTGCCTTGAACAAAAGCAACAAAAACGATAGGCCGTGGGACGTATTGGATTACGGTTAGTTTGATATGGAAAACCTACTTAATCAAACGTTATTATCAAACGCCCACAACGCAGCCCTGTGTTCTAGAACCAAATCAAATTGCCTCGATTATGTAGCTTCACTCAAACGGAGTTGCTTTTTGGCCACGCCGGATCGGTGACGGCTCGGCGCTGCTCCGGCTGGCCGCCAGATGGCCCCGGAAGCATGACGCTGAGCGAGCCGTGAGCTGGCGGGTGACCGACCTCGCCCCTCTGCCAGCGGGTGGTGACGGCCGGCCCGTCCAGCGGCTGGGCGGCGTCGAACACCAGCAGGTAGGCGCCGCGGCAGCCCAGCAGCGGCAGCTGCACGGCCTCGAACTCGGCGTCGCCGCTCCAGTCCCACACGCTGACGGTGACCTGGGGTCAGAGCGGCGTCACCTGCGGCGGGGGTCAAGGGGAGGGGAGGAGCAGGACAGATGAGGCCATACGCCGACGGTGACCCGAGGTCAGGGCGGCGTCACCTGCGGCGGGGGTCAAGGGGAGGGGAGGGGCAGGACAGATGAGGTCATACGCCGACGGTGAACCGAGGTCAGAGCGGCTTCACCTGCGGCGGAAGTCAGAGGGAGGGGGAGGGCGGCCAGGCCTGGTGAGGCCTCTCAAAGCCTCACGAAACAGACACCTGCGATGCTGATCAAAGGGAAAGGCTGAGTGGTCTGGCCGGCACAACTATGCCAAGCCGGTCAGACGAGACGATGAGCGGGTGGGGCGGGCATAGTGGGTGCAGCTCCACGTCCGTATCAGGTCACGAATTAGCCGCGTAGAATGTTATCTGGTGCGGATCTGGTGTCTCATGATCTGCCTTAAATCTCTCCACCTGGCGGACACTCCTCACCGGGCCAATGGGATTACATCCTGTCATGATGCAGCTACACCTTAACAGATTAACAGATATATGAAGAATCGGGCATGCAAGACGGATAAGCTCCTACAGTATTTAATCGTACATCATCACCAAAATGTCAATAGGGTGCGGCCCGTTATGCAACCAACTTGCACCAAACAACAGCGGGGACATGAGGTGGGGCAAGCACGAGTGAGTAGGGGAGGAGAGGGGCAGACCTGCTGCGCCTGACTGGGGGAGGCGGCGGCCGACCGCTCGCGGCGGGTGCAGGTGGGGTTCGGGGGGGGGGGGGCACACCTGCTGCGCCTGACTGGGGGAGGCGGCGGCCGACCGCTCGCGGCGGGTGCAGGTGGGGTTCGGGGGGGGGGGAGGGGGCGGGGCACACCTGCTGCGCCTGACTGGGGGAGGCGGCGGCCGACCGCTCGCGGCGGGTGCAGGTGGGGTTCGGGGGGAGAGGGGGCGGGGCACACCTGCTGTGCCTGACTGGGAGAGGCGGCAGCTTCCCGCTCTCGGCTGTTGTCTGGCGACTCGGTCAGCATCTCCTCCACCAGGCGCACGATGTCGGCCGGCAGCTCCTTCAGCGCCCCCTCGTCCGTCACCTGCGCACATGTCGGCCGCAGGTCAAACGCTTTACATGCAGCGGCACAACGCACACACACATGTAACAGCTCGCATGCGTCCGGTTTTCATTTAAAATCAATGCGTATTACTTCCTGCAGCAGAAGCAAATGCATGTTCTCCCTCCGACAGCAGCATTACCTGAAAACGTGCACAAAGTCTGATTTACAACATGCACAGCAGACTTAAATCAATGGTCGCGGAAAGCGCAGAATTCTTCGGGCGCTCGTGACGCTTTTGATAGCATTAGAGACTAATTTGCGAATAGCTCAAATCCAGCCTAATTTGCATCACCTCAAACTCCTTCTTTGGCACCACCCGGTTGAGGCTGCTGCGGCTGAGGTTGACCCTGAATGTGCTGGAAAAAGAGCGAGACGACGAGCGGTTCTTCAGCTTGGCCATCTCGCGGGACTTCCTGTCCTTGAGCAGCTCGCGCACCACGTTGCGAGCGATGGCAGTCTGGTACTCCTCTTCGATCTCCTCCGGCTCTGGCGGATCAAGTGCAATGGTAAATCCTTATTTTAGTCCTATATTCACCCGCCTCCGTCGACAACAATGGCGCAGCCAAGTTTGGAGCACCACCTCTACGACGTTTACTGCGGAGTCTGGTTTAAACAAGCAATGAGAAACATGCGCACCAGTAAACATGACGTTCAGCTCTCTTCCGCGCGCCAACCCTTCTGCGTCGGACCACTGGCAGCCGTCCACTGCGTCAGCCTCCCCGCGCCAGGAGGCGAACCTCACCTCTCTGCGCGCGCGAACGGCGGCCGCTGGTCAGTCGTACGCCATCGACGGGTCGCCAGCAGGCCGGGTCGTCCGCTGCGAACGTGAAGAGCTCCGAGCTACTGAGGCCCGCTGTAGGCGAGGTCTCTCCGGCTTCCGTGCCGAGCAGCAGGTGGCGCAGCGACGTCTTGCCCGCCCTGATGGACGCCACGCACCACATCACTGGCTGACCGAGATCAGCGCCGGCCGCGCTGCCGGCGGGCGTTGGGACCGGGCGCCAGCGATGTCTTACACTGCCCTTTCATGTGCTCTGTTAAGTATAACTATCAGATCACAAACGTTTAATCGAACGGACACACGCTTACCGCCATTTCTTGACGGCTTTCGATGGATGATTGTGGCCGTGGTGATAAGCGTGTGTCATCGGCATCGAAAATGGTTGCATGTCCCGCTCATCTCCAATGAACCCTACCCGCTACCGGTCTGAATCCGTTTAAGTCCGCTAACTGCTCAGACTGTGATCACTCAGGTCGTTGCTGCAGCCCGGCTGGCTGTACGAGAGCCGCCTGCCACGAACGGCGTGGGTAACGGCAAATGACGCTGAAGGACTTTGGCCGGTCTGGGTCCCGCCTCCCCTGGCTTGTAACCCGCCTGACTGACCTTAGTCCACCCCTGACCTGTCGGCGTCTCACTGGTCTGCAGCCATCTTACCGGCCTGTCGTCGCTCCACTGACCTGAAGCCGTCTCGCTGCCCTCTACGCGCCTCACTGACCTGTGGCCGCTCCACTGACATGTAGCCGCCTCACTGACCTGTAGCCGCCCCACTCATCTGTAGCCGCTCCACTGACCTGTAGCCGCTCCGCTGACCTGTAGCCGCCCACTCATCTGTAGTCACTCCACTGACCTGTTGCCGCCCCACTGACCTGTAGCCGCTCCGCTGACCTGTAGCCACTCCACTGACCTGTAGCCGCCCCACTAACCTGTAGCCGCTCCACTGACATGTAGCCGCCTAATTGACCTGTAACCGCCTCACTCACCTGTAGCCGCTCCACTGACCTGTAGCCGCTCCACTGGCCTGTAACCGCTCCATTGACTTGTAGCCGCTCCACTGACCTGTAGCCACCCCACTCATCTGTAGCCGCTCCACTGACCTGTAGCCGCTCCGCTGACCTGTAACCGCCCACTCATCTGTAGCCACTCCATTGACCTGTAGCCGCCCCACTGACCTGTAGCCGCTCCACTGGCCTGTAACCGCTCCATTGACTTGTAGCCGCTCCACTGACCTGTAGCCACCCCACTCATCTGTAGCCGCTCCACTGACCTGTAGCCGCTCCGCTGACCTGTAGCCGCCCGCTCATCTGTAGCCACTCCACTGACCTGTAGCCGCCCCACTGACCTGTAGCCGCTCCACTGACCTGTAGCCGCCCCACTGACTTGTGGCCGCTCCACTTACCTGTAGCCGCCCCACTGATCTGTAGCCGCTTCACTGACCTATAGCCGCCCACCAGGAACAGTCGGCTGCGGTAGACGGAGACGGTTCCGGATCGCCTCACACGACGGTACAGGTCGCGCGCCGCCTGACCGCGCGCCAGGATCTCCAGCGGCGTCTCCTCTGTGGGGTCCACGGGCGTCACCCATCGCCAATGCAGACAACAGCGTCCAGTCAAGTCCATGGTGGCTCGCCGTTAATTGTGCTGAAGCCGTGGCTGTCCGCACAACTACAATCATTTTTAGCGTTGACGGCAGCATTCAGCACGGTGCATGTATTCATGCCCGCTCGATGCTGCACCTTGCAAACCGCATACGATTGCGCCCAATGTCGGCCACTGTGCTGCAGGTCGAGCGGTGTGTCAACGACACGGGCAGCTCCGGCCGGGGGTCCGGTCCAACGCTCACGCCAGCTTTGCCGCCGCCAGTGTCGTCATCGCTGGCGCATTAGTCGGTGCTGGTGGCTGTGTAGATTAGCAGCCTCCCACGCCTATGTTGAAGGGAGCAGCAAATGTTTCCTGCGGCCGGAAATTGCAGCCCACATCTTTCCACCGCCAGCCCATTCATTGCGATGAGTCCCCGCGAGTGTCAGACACAGAGTGGCCACAGCCGTCGAAGCACCGAAGTCGTCGCCACCGGAGCGGCTGACAGCGCGCCACGGTCGCCTCACCGTCGCACGTGATCTGGACGGCCTGCGTGTTGCCGTACACGTCGATGAGGGCCCAGAGCGGCCGGTCGGCCGGCACGCCGGTAGCCAGCCGCGTCACCTGGCGATGGTTCACCGACACGTGCAGCTCGCTCTCCTCCGTCAGCCAGAAGTGCACCCTGCCGAACACGCGCGGTCGGGGTGAGCAGTCGCCTCGCTCGCACAGCCGTGTGAAGGATTGCACGGTTCAGATGGCCTCCCGTAGATATTGTGTTGGCCGGTCTGCTCAGCACGTCACGGATCACGAGAGAATATTTTTTCTGTCTGTTACCCGACTACTACGCCATGTTCGACGACCAGTCGCGGCTCTCACCCGCCTGACCTACCCTCCCATCTAGCCTAACCTGTCCCATGCTTTCCTCTCACCCGCCTCACGTGCCCCATACGCTCCTCTCAGCCTCTTCGTTTGCCCCATATGCGGCTTTCACCCCGCCTCACGAGCCCCATTCCCTCCTCTCACCCGCCTAACCTGTCCCATGCGTTCCTCGCACCCGCCTCATCTGCCCATACGCTCCTCTCACCGGCCTCACCTGTCCTATACGCGGCTCTCATCTCGCATCATCTGCCCCGTGCGCTCCTCTCATCCCGCCTCACCTGTCCCATACGCTCCTCTCAACCTGTCTCATCTGCCTCATACGCGGCTCTCACTTCACCTCACCTGCACCGCACAGCTCACTCCACCTCCCCTGCATCGCGCGGGTCTCACCCCACCTCCCCTGCACCGCGCGGCTCTCACCTGGCGTCGTCTCGGAGGTGCTGCTCTCACCTGGCGCCGTCTCGGAGGTGCTGCTCTCGCACGGTGCGCACCCAGAAGCCGGGTCGCCGGATCAGGTCGGGGAAGGAGTAGCGCGGCAGCGAGGTGAGCGTGGCCGGGTCGTGCCAGGTCACGCCCACGCGCACGGCGCCGTTCCAGTCGGTGACCTGGGTCAGCCGCAGGTGGTACTGCTCGCCGCGCAACAGCGGGCCAGAGCTGGCGAAGCGCAGTGACGCAATGAACGGAACGCTTCTGGTACGGTGTTAAGTCTCGTTCTCTTTGCGTGAATGTCAGACGCGGATGTCAGCGCGGCTAGATTTGGCATCAAGTTTTGAATCTTGAGCTTTTGGGAACCGAAGTGAAGGGACACAGCTCGTGATAAGTGAGGATGGGATTAAGACAGACCAGTAAAAAACGGCGAGCTCGGCATAAGCACAGCTGATATCACTCGGGAATAGTAGTAAGAGGTACACCGAGGCTCAGCCGCATCAGCTAATAAACGGACTCCTAGACTCGGTATTATCCGTCCAGCTGACGGGCACCCACCTGAAGGTGATACCGTTGCAGAAGCCCTCGCGGCGCGAGGCGCAAGTGTCATCATTCTCTAGCGACACGTGGGACCCGTGGACGGAGTGGAACTTGAACATGGTCCGCCTCGAGCGCCACCACTTTGCGTGGCCTGGCATCAGAGCGGCAACGGGGAGCGTGACAACACTGTTTTACGACGGGTCTGTCTCTACCGACGTTAGGGCATCATCGTGACCATTAGCGCATCGTCAGCGAATATTTCATAGATGGCCTGTCGTTGTGTTCGCCAGCTGACCCCGGCAACGCAAGTCAGATCGATAGCGGGGCGAATGCAAACTACGTAATACTGCACTACTGCAGAACGCAATGCTGCACTACTCGCCAAATCATGATTGCCGTCTGCACGAACGACTCTCCGGAAACTGAACGAGCTCGCGTGTGTGTACGGCATACCAACCAACAGCACCGCAGATAAATCAGCTTCGCGTGCATGCAGTTTTAGACTGACCGCAACTGGGGTGTTCCGGTCAGGGCGCATGCTGTCTGGAGGCGGTGGGAGGCGCCGGCTCGCCGGCCGGGTCAGCACTGGTGGGCATCGGGCCGCTGTCCGGGCAACCGCCGAATCACATGTGCCCTGGCGTGCGGCGCTCCCTGCGGCGGCGGGGACGCCACAGATCTGGTCCCACGCCGGGCGGCCCAGCCCGGCCTCGCGCTGGAGCGGCGGGACACGGCGGGACACGGTCCCACGGTGGGACACGGTCTCAGGCGGACAAGGTCGGCCAGCTCTCCTTCACACGGAGACAGCCGGTCCCACGCGGAGCCAGCCACGCTGGAACGCGGGGACGGGCCTCACGCCAGGCGTCGGGTCCTGGCCGGCAGCTGCGAGGCCACCGCAGCCGCAGGCGGACAGCCCACCTCCGTGTCACGCGGGGACAGGGCCGCCACAGAGCTGCCACAGAGTCGCCACTGAGTCGCCACAGAGCTGCACAGAGCCGCCCCGGCAGGGTCACCCGCGGTACGCCGCCCAGCGCCCGTCGTATGGCGCCCGCCGCCACACCGACATGTTTGGCCCCGTTGCTAAGTAACCAATCGATGTGAAGGTGAGGCCCGTCTGGCGGTCGAGACCACCACTTTGGGCGATATAAAAACGGAGACTGACGCGCTGCCACGAAAAGGCGGAATTTTAGCACCTGCGCGAGTAGATTCTATGGCTCATGGCATTAGTCTGGTCGTTCGTTGCATCATTGTTTCGAAGCCCTGTTTGGTGCACTTTTCAAATTTTGTGTGAATATCAATGTTATGCATGCGCCATTTTGAAAAGGCGCATTCGCGTAGGCTTCCAATTGTTATGGAGTGATCTCACGTTCCCACAAAATAATCACCGAGGGCATAGCTGTTGACGACATGACGGGGTATCCTTGACGTGATGCCTTATGTCCCGTCTGGCCCTCCGTATATCCAATGTTTTTATATATTTCGTTGCAACCTAAAGAAAATCCTGGGCAGAGGTCATAGACCCAGTGGCGCTGAAACGTTAAAACACACTGCAGCATAAAATATTATATATTTACCACTGTTCAGACACACAAAATGATGAACAAGTCAGAAATGAAGCCTCTTAGACTAAGTCGCCGTTATCGTATTCTAAGAGCTTGTTCGAGTTCTGTACACTATCAAGGCGACCCTGTTCAGACTGGAAGACAGTTGGGACGGATGAAATACTACTGACATTGGTCGGAAAAGTGGCCGTTACATATGCCAACAGACTTGGAAATATATGTCTCGACAGGGAGTGGGCTATTCGCCTTACTGCGCTGTCACTAACAACTAACAACCATGGTGACCGCAACTTCGGCAATAGTCGTGTTCCGTTTAAACGGCGCGAAGATAACGATCCGAAAGCATCATCACATCTAGGGGCAAAACAATGCATGCATGCAAGCGCAGCATATCTCCCATGAATAGCACAACAATCTATCAACAAGTTTTGCTGGTCAACCACACGACACTCCTCGTCCACAGAAACGTATCACTGATCGCAGCATCGCTCAACAACAGTAACAGTCCTTCCAAGACGAGACGCACCGTACACGAACGCTCCCTCCCCCCCCCCCCTGCACAAGCAGGCGCGTGCGTGCTCCACCACATGTCCGCCGCGCAGCTGTCTCAAGCAATCCCCCCAATCATGTCCCTCGCATGAGATGTTCACTCGACGAACCGCCCAGAGTCGCGCGCGAGCTGAAGCCGCGCAAGGCACCACAGGGGACATCGCTGCCCGCGGCGGCCTCCGCTGACGCCGCTGGAGCCGGCAGCTCTAGCCGAACAGACTCTGGAAACCGCCCTGGATGCGGGTCCAAAGGCCGCCGATTCCGGACGGCGCCGGCGTGGGCGGCGGCGGCGCGATCGGCGGCTGCGTGAAGTCCTGCCGGTTCACGTCCTGTCGGGCAGCGGGGCCGTCAGAGCCGGTGATGCCCCGCACCGCGCGCGCAGGGAGGCCGCGCGTCACTACCGCCGTCGGCAGCGACGCCCGCCCGGCTAGACATGGCTCACGTCGATCCCCGAGCGTCAACGATACGGATGCAAGGAGAGCAGACGGCCGCAGCCTTCTCAACCGATCGAGCAAACTACTTTCGATCGCTTTGAATGAATGGCGGAGACGCTGCAACTAGAAGGGATCGCGGCATCGTTGTGTTCGTGGCCACTAATCGGAGATATCGACAGATTCGAGACGGGATACGCAATACTCCCGTTCAACGCAGTACTGAAGCAGAAAGAACACTGCGATCTGTTGTTTGTTGGAATTGCAGGAACGAGTTTCGTGACCATCAGCAACACCACGTTTGCTCCGCTCATTAGCAAAGACGGCACCTGAGCCCCTAGCCCGCAGCTACCACAAACAAACAACGCTACTGCAGTCGCATGCTGTAACTTCAACTGGGGCGCCGTGATGTCATCTGATAGCCGTCCTGGACAAACACCGACGAAAGCACGCCATGTTTACAGGCACGGCACGCCACGGTCCCTGGCCTGGGCTTCAGACAGCCGGTGCAGTCATGAGCTAGCACGCGTCTCATGCTCCGGCGCGCACGGTCAATACTGAATGTTTCAGAAAAGTAGCTCCGAATGTCTAGGCTATCAGTCTGGTGCTAAAAGTAAAACCCGAATCATGCGATAGGTAAAGAGCTGTTCAAACATCGAAAACCCGTCGCGGTATTTAGTTGGTGCAGGCGGCGTTAGCACCACGTTATCAAAGACGGCGCGCCTTGGACACACACCACATGAGGGTAATAAAAACAGGCTATCTCAGACCGAAACATTTGCGGTAAGTGCTGCACTACACGCGTCCTGCCCTCAGGGCGTTCGTGCCCGTCTACGTCCAGCAGGCAGGCCTCCGTCGGCAGCAGAACCTGCCGCACCTACCCCCATCCGGCGCTGGAGCAGTCACAAGCCCAGATCGCAGCGCCTGCCTATGGACGGTGGCGGCTAGACCGCGATGCACGCGAGGGCCCAGACCGCGACCAGGCCGGCCGAGGCGGCGGCGCCGGCGCCGGACCGCGAGCGCGCCTGGGAGCGGCCGTGCGGCCGCCCCAGCGTCACGTGCAGGTAGTGAAGCGTGCTCGTGCTGGAGGTGACGGTGCGAGGCGGGCCACCCTACCGGCGCGGCGCGGCGGCCACGCGGCCGACCGCCGGGGTCACACGCGGGCTGCCCCAGCGCGGTGCAGCACCAGCACGGCGCTGGTCCAGCACCAGCATAGCATCGGCGCAGGACCAATACAGCGCGCACCGGTGCAGTACCAGTGCAGTATCCGTATGGTACCAGTGTTACACTTCTGGCAACAAGGCCAGCACCGCAGAGCGACCCGATCCCGTGCTCTTAGCGCGGCAGCAGCTGCTTGATAGCTATAAATGTTCGAGCCACCACCAGAAAGCAAGCGCAAGAGACCCCGGACAGTCATAGCATAGAAACGTGTGGCAGACGGAAGGCGTTTTAAGAAATAAGCCCCCAAGCTGCCAAGCATTCCGATGAAGCCACCAACCATGCATATATGTATGGTATATTCCCAATACTGTAGATGGTCAAGTAGACCACACATTGAGCTGATGGGTCGAGCCGGCCGGGGCCTGGAGGGGCCGAGCCGTCGGCGGCGGGTCACCCACCGGCACTCTGTCCATGGCGATGGTCAGCTCAGTCGGGTACTCCTCGCGCACGGAGAACTGCTGCTCGCGCGGGTAGTAGCCCTCAGCGAACACCTGTCAACGGCGCGCCGGCGCGTCAGGCTGCCGCAGCGCCACCGTCTCCGTACCACCCGACAGCCAGACCCCACGGCGTTAGTTCGGCCGCGCGGGTGGGGGTCAAAGCTGCACAGGAGCGCGGATTCTGCGCGCTTTGTATCTCAGTTCGTACTAAGCCGGCCAACATGACAACTTACCACGCTAAAAATGACCGCGACAGTCACGCGTGTCGGTAAGTAGGGCAGAGATGCATGGATTCCACGGTCTAACAAGACCTTTCATCAATCGGATGTTTTGTAAGAGCCCCTTTCATGATAAGAAGCCGTACTATTCGTATACTAGTGGCACTGGAGACCACGGCCTCATACACCCAGTCCTGCACACCGTCAACACAACAGTAAACCGTCAAACAGCATATGTTTAAATGATGATCACAGCGGCATCAACGCAGCAGAATCGAATAGCTAATGACACGCATAAAAGCGGCCAAAGCACTGACGAGAGTTTAAAAAAGCCCTCCCAACGACGACCCCTCTCCCCTCCCCTCCCCCCCCCCCCCCGCTTTTGCTCACTACGCCGTTGGTTGAGGTTTGCCCACCGCGTTGGCTAGGATCACATCATAAAACAACAGCAAACGGCGTCTATTTTGCGGCGTTTCCACGACGACGAAGGATCCGGCTCTAGCCTTGGTGAGTTAGCGCTCGCTTCGAAGCTCACCTCCATGACGTAGGTGCCCGGCAACAGGATGCGCCAGAACTCGCCGTGCTGCGTGGTCTGGAAGCCGACGTTGCGGCCCTGCACCTTGAGCGCGGCGCCCTCGATCGGGTTGTTGTTCCGGTCCGTCACGAAGCCGCGCACGCCGCGGTGCGACTCGGCCACGAACTTCACCAGCGCCTGCGGCGGCCGGGTCGGGGAAGGGTACAGAGTGCAGACACAGCGGGCGTGAAACTCATCAACGACTGTGCCGGGTCGGCACAGGGTCGTCAGGGTTAAGAGAGACGTCAGAGAAATCGACCGCGCGCGCGGCAGTGGGCCACAGGAGTCCACCAGAATAGCAGAGCAGCAGGACGGCACAGAAAAACAAAAACACGTCGGACAGGCAGTGGGTTCTCCGCACGCAATCGGCATCGCACTAACGAGACACTTAGGCGCTGCGTTGCCGACTTCGGCGAAGAGATGACATAGTTTAAAACATGGCGCGTATGACAACAGCCGTCCAAAGTGGACCAGGCGCCTGCGGTGTAACGGTGGAGTCGGGCGGGCGCACACACCATCCGTGAACTGCGCCAGACGCTGGCGATTGTGGCTCACAGTGCGAACAAACCGAACTGTGCTACGACTGTGCGGTGTAAGGACACGCGCAGAGGCTGAACTGACGTCGAGTCCGTCACAGCAGACAGCATCTGATTTGCAGCATCCAAGGATGCGAGTGCGCAAACGCAAGCTTCAAAGCCCATACCAATTTGAAAGCCAGCAAGTCTTAAATAAATCAGTCCGAATCTTTTCAATTTATGGATTTCTGGCATCAGAGCTCTTTTCCAGGTTCGATTCCATCATCAGATCAGAGCCCTTATCCCGCTTTAGATCAACGGCTGAATTTGCTGAGACAGTTTAACGTGGCGCAATGTTCGGCACGGTCCGCCCTGCCCTCTGACGTCACCTGACCTTTAGTGCGGCCGCTGCCACCGGCCACAAGTCATCTCAGTGAAGGGCAAGTAGCCACCTGCTCAAGTGACTCAAACCCACCGTGTCGCGGGTGGGTGGTTCGGAAACCAGGCACTCTAAACGACTGAGTGATCGGGACAAACACAATTTTGTGCTGGCAGCCCCTTTAACTATTTAACGCCGTTAAAAGTAATTTGTAAGACTGTCCTATCCAAAGCGATGACCTTGCCACCACCTCTCTACTGTGAAAATCGGACTGGCCGCCAGTCAGGCCCTGGCTCCCGGTGGAGGGGAGGGGGGAGGGGGTTGCGACCCGCCGGCCCGCTCGGCTCACCTTCCTGTTGTCGTGCCAGAAGGAGCGCAGCTGGGAGGCCGGCGGGTACTTGCAGCAAGAGAGCTCCAGCGTCAGCTCCATGCAGCCGTGCCAGACGTAGTTGAAGTCCTGCATACCACCTGAGCAGGCAGAGCAGGGCGCCCGTCACTATCGGCACTTCCACCGGGCAGACCAACTGTCTACCAACAGCCTCGGATGACTGTTCGTCCCTTCTACAAGCCCGGGTACCGAGTCGCGTACCACGCTCCATGATAAACACCAATAAGGCGGCTCAGAAGAAGGGGCGACACGAACCACCTACACCAGCATCAAGAGTGCAGCACAAGGGGCAGCACTGCCACCGCGTGCGTGCGGCTTCGCCGTTGGCGCGCTCACCAGTCAGCGGGTACCACTTGGCGCCGTTGGTGATGCCGTCCTTGAACCGGTCGGCGCCCAGCTTCCCCGGGCACGGCGCGCCCTTGTGCATCTTGAGGTGGTTGAACGAGTACACCTTGGCCAGGTGGCGCATGGTATCGTCATCCGGCGAGCGGGACTCGGTGCTGCTGAACTGGCGCAGGACTGCAACGGCGCGACAGGCACGTTCTTCGTCAGCGCGGCAGGCTTGTCGGTCGGAAGAACAACAGAAGCAGCCGTACGCCACATTCATCAAATGAGCTCGCGATGAAAGAGAACATGCTCTCAGAAAAGAAAGCCTCTCTGCCGTAGATAATGCTTTTTAACAATCCCTTGGATGACGCAAGCCTAAAATTGAGGAATCAATGCTACATCGGAGAGCAATGTCCCTCTCCAAGGCATTCAAAACTTCAACCTCGCCAAAACGTGACCGCTGCGGTGTAACCAGCCGGCCTCGAGATGCCCGTGGCGACTCGGCCCGGCCGTTCCGGTGCTGGGACCCACGCCAGCCCCGGAGCCTCTCCCGGACCTGGGAAGCGCACCGGTCACCCCCGAGGCGAGACGACACAGGCAGCGGTCGGCGTCCCTTACCACACCCGCGACGCGAGGCGGCGATCACGTGATCTGGGACCGTCTCGCGCGACCGGCGGTTACGTCGCTCCCAGAGCGGTCGGAGATGTCTCGCCACAAGTGAAACGGCACATCATTCTGCACCAACACCAGGCTGGGAATTTCCCCCAGGCCCCACCCGAGCCGAAGCGAGAGCCATCTGCTCGGTGTTAGAAGCTACGAGGACGGTCGTGGCTTCTACGAAGCTACGAAGCTACGGTCCAGGTATAGCCCAGTTAAGGAGCGCACTGGTCTGTACCGACACTGGGCTGGGACCTTCACCACCGGCTCCACGGGCCCATGAAAGACAGTGCCGTTTAGGCGTCACCGACAAAGCCGCGGTCCGCCTGGGAATCGCCCCGCCCACGAAGCCCCCGTCCATGCTCGCGTAGCGAATAGCAGCAGGTTTGAGAGGAGCACGTCGTCTGGCGCAAAGGCAGAGGAGCCCGTCACGTGTGTTCAAAGCAAAGGATGGTGCTGGAAACGTAACAAATTGCCGGAGCTACATGCATACAGGGTAGAAGCCGACATGCAGTGAAGGACGCCTAACCTTGAATTCCCTGCAAGCGCGACAGTGTATGGTATCAGCACTAGGCTCATTTTGTTTGGTTGGCATAGATCTCTGTAAGCCTCGTGTGACCATTTTCATGGTGGATTTAGGCTGCCTAGGGCCGGTGGTGTCATGTTGCATGACGCGAAAGAGATCCTTCTGCATTGTGTGGTAAGACAGAAGCAATCATATTTTTTTCTCGTCGGACTAGACGAGCTTTGCCGGAGTGATGGGCCTTCGCTTTCAGTAAGGCGTCTTTCGCGACATATAGTCAGCGGGGTGGTATCAACTGCGAGTGCTGTCAGTTATCATTAAGATCATCCAAAAACCACGCTTATGAAGCCAGGTGCCTTCGGAAACCGAAACCAATAAGCTTGATAAATGCGCTTAAAAGTCTATTTTTTATAAGCAGCTTTCATAGAAATCATGCGACGAACTTTATAAAGTAAAATCAGCGACCGTGACAGAGCCGACGAGGTATCGTTCATTCAGTCCGGGTTGGCTTGGTGCGCTGAAAGAGGGATCGTGCTTACACGGTCTGGATTTCGCGATCAATTAGGAGAGAATATTTTAAAACAGAGTCAGCTGGCCAAGAGCAAAGGCAGATGGGTGAAGTCTTGTTTTGATTGTCTTGTATCTGCACTTAGTGGACCTGGAAGAGGCGTACCTCGGACAGGTTCCGACACTGCCGCTTGGAGGGGCTGCAGGAACGGATCATACCAGGCGCGTCCTTGCCGACCAAACACCGGCTCCTTTCGCACCGCATTACCGTCCTCTGTCGGTTGTCAGGCAAAGCTGCAGTTTCTTCGTCAGTCACAAGTGCTGGTACGGGGTGGGACTCAATGGTCTTTGAATGTTATCACATCTCAAGCATGGTCGGGGTGGAGAGGACGGCACGTGGTAAACGTCAGGTCACGTCAGTCGAGGAAGGGCACATCATTCGAGCAGACTGTCCGGGGGGGGGGGGGGGGGGGGGCACATCACTGGGGCGTGCTCTTGCGGCAGAGACGGACGACCTCCGCAGACTTTCTGTGGTCTGGTTTTACCGATGGCGTTGATGAGGTACAGCAAATGGCATTATACGTGCGAGTTGATAAATTCTTTCCTCTCACGAATCTAATGAAAAAGGTTTGACAAAACAGTGTTGCAATGCACCATGCTCATGAGACAAACGACACAGGGAGTTGCACGACGAAAAGGGACGAATCAGTCGCGGTATGGGGACAGCGAACGGACCGACAAGCAGGCACGATAAAAGCAACAGACCGAAAGCCGTGGACGGAGACAAGAAGCGGAGAGGCACGCGGAAGTAGAAGAAGCAGAGAAGCAAGAGAACCGGGGGGGGGGGGGGAGGGGGGCTACGGGGAGTCCGCTCACTGGAGTTGGGTGTGTTGTCGAACGGGTAGCTGGCCACGAGGGCGCCGCCATGCAGCTGGGCTGACAGCACGAACTGGATCTTGTTAATCCACTCCTTGACGGCATCCGTCTCCTGCTGCGACTTCTTGTTGTTGGTCTTGAAGTAGTCCGGGAAGTTGCGGTTCAGATCGTAGCTCAAGGAGTTGAACCTGACGACGCAGACGGGAGATGAAGGAGGTGATGTGACGCAGACGGGAGATGAAAGAGGTGATGTGGCGCAGACGGGAGACGAAGGAGGTGATATGGCCCGCCTGATGGCAGCTGCAGCAGGCCGAGCAGCCATGTGACATACCACGTGACACGCCGTGTGACATGCCATGACCTTGGAGCCCACGGTGAATACCAGGCATCCGTGAGAGTCAATGCGCATCATGACGTCTGATCCCAAACACCAAGGCAGCCCGTGGTCAGGACATTTCACGACAGTTCGACTGACGCCGAGCACCACCAACTGTCAAATCGTGTGAGAAAATGCGCGCATACGCATACCTGAGGTTCTAAATTAATGCGAGCAAACTCCAGCTCGACCACAGTAGCTGCGTTACAACTTGGGAACACTTGTCGGGGGCCACACGGAGAGGCTCTCTTGTGGTTACCTACGCCTCGAAAGAAAGTGACCGGCCGCTGACTGGCCAGTGGTCCGTAGAAACCCTTACATGGGATCCAACCAACGGCACAGTCAGACCATGCAAGCTTTCACCCCAGTGAGGCAACCGATGGCATGTATCGGTAATCAACCGCACCAAACATATGACGTGGGATCTTGGTGCTGCGGCGGTGGACACAATGCATTACGTGCTGCACTGCGGCAGTCGGGTTTAGCCGTTTAGAACATCAGCAAGCATGGGGAATACCGGGGAGATTTAATGGAAAAGTATTAAGCCCTGCTTTTCGTGGTGTGGAAGGAGTGGCCGTGACTATGCAATAACATTCATCCAACCCGTGGATATCGACGCAGCTGCAACCGACCATTGTTTTTTTCTGCTAACGGGTAGATGCTTGTGGCATCTACTAATTGACATCACACCCGCGTTTCCTTACCAATCAGACCACCCCCTTAACGACATTTTCACACGGCCCCTGTTGGAGGTTCACTCGCGATGAGACGGACATGTGTCATCGCTGGGACGGATAGCGTAACGGTGTGGTGGGTCAACCGACACCGCAACTGAACATGTGACAACACGCCCGCCGTCTTGCACTCGTCGGGGCTAAAGCTGTCTGACCGGATCACGATTTTCCCACCGTTTTGGATATCCAAAGGCCACAGGATATTTTTGTGATCCTCATCAATTTGGCTGTCAGCATTGTCACGCTTCGAATGAGTCACTGCACATGGTGCGGCGATGGGGGGAGGGGGAGGGGGCCTGTAGACGAGGACCCATTTGGCAGTGGCCAGCGCACCTGGTCTATCTTTCGCGTGTTGCATTTTTACGACATGTAGTGGTTCGGCTTAAGAACACTACCTTTACGTTGTTTGATTACTGAGATGTCCTCATGTCGGCTAAGTGCTTTGCTGGTTACAAACAAAGAGTAAACGTCCGTCCCCGGTGTTCCGAGTACACGCTGAGTTGCAGTTGATACATGTGGGTATACTGTACATACCTGAAGCAACCAGGGCAATCACAACTACATTCTTCCCTGAGGTCAAGTTTTACTTCGTTTAAATGATCAGTAAGCTTCTCATTTCATGCTGATGACGAGAGACCACGCCCGGCGCCCGGAACCCGCCAGCACACTTCGTGCTGGAGCGGGGACCGGTTGAGGGCCCCTCTGAACTCGAGGCTCTGGGCCGCGCCGTAACAGCACGGTCCGGGCGGCACGTGCGGCCGTGCCGCTTCACTGGCGCTCGCGCTCGCGCCGCCGCCGCGCGACAACGGTGCACAACGGTGCCCGGAGACGGCGGCGGCGGCGGCGGCGGCGGCGGCGGCGGCGGCCCCGGTCCGCGGCGTGCCGCCCGGCGTCCGGCTGCGGGCCCCGACGGTCGGCTCCGCTCCCCGGCGTGCCTGTACCGTGCCTGCAGCTGCCCGACACGGCTGACGGTCCTCCACGAGCGTCGCGCGGGACCGGTCAGGCCGGCCGGCCCTCTGTCGGGAGCGTGACCGCGTGCTTTTCCCGGCCATCTACCCGAAACGACCACCTCTAGAGCCGACCTGTCGCCTGACAGCAGCCTCGGGCGTCTGTGACTGGTCGCACGCACCAGCCACGCCGCCTCCGTCCTATCCAGATGTCCGTCACTCCACCAAACTCATCACCAGGCACGTCCTTCCCAGACCATCGCGCACCTGGCGCGTGACGGGCCCGCCTCCCTCCCCGCGGCTCCGTCAGCGGTCCGTACCCGACCTATCTGCCTCAGCCCCGTCAGAGCCCGCACCGAGAACGTCTCCTCCGTCGCTGACCTCGTCGGCGGAGCCCGTACCGAAAGCGTGCCCTCCGTCGCTGGCCTCGTCGGCGGAGCCCGCTCACCTGCCCTGGCCACCTTCGCAGGCGCCCTCGCGGCTGACCTCGAAGCCGTCCGGGTTCATCGAGGGCATGATGTGGACGCGCGTGTTGTCCAGCAGCCAGCGCACGTACGGGTCCGAGTTGTGACGCCTCACCAGGTACTGCGGCACGGGTGTCGACGGTCAGCGGCGGCGGCAACTGCGAGCTGAGCACCAATGACGTGTATTGTGGCGAAGGAAGCGCCACAATACAATTGTGGCGAAGGAAGCGCCACAATACACACCACAATACACGCCACACTACACGCCACAATACACGCCGCAATACACGACACAACACACGCCACAGTCGCCACAACAATCAACTTTCCCTTTTGTCAGACCCTTGCTCTTTCATTTGGAATTCGTTATCAGGTTTCTTTGGGTCCTGCATGCGGTGAGCGAGGTGTTGCACGGCACACTGGCATTGATTTTCATTGTAGGGCCCCAACAGTTGCAGACGGACAGCTACGTAAAGGACGAGCAGCTACAACATACAAATTTCATAAGTATCAGGAGATATCACACGTTTTTTCACCCTGTACAAAAAAACATTAGCGGCTGTCTCTGTAAGAGAGCGAGGACAGCAAGTTATTTTCGCGAACAAGTTAAACGAGTCCGGGACGGCCAGAAACGTCCAACAGAACTAAACTGGAGGCACAAGCACAGAGCAAGTGAACATGACCACGGGTCGAGTAAGACATCACGTGTCTCAGAATGCCACATCGCGGCTGGCTTGCGCCATGCAACCGCGGAAGAAGAGCCGTGTGCACTCCTTGGCATCTGCAGCAGCGGGGCCCGGGCGCAAACGCTCAGCCAGACAGCATGACAATGAGGTGACTGCGGATATCCCATGTTTCTACTGACATAGCTCGCAGATGTAGGACAATGTGATGCAGGCCATGCTTGAGATAGCATGCACGGTTGGATGTTCGTGCCTTTCTGAGTGCAAAAAAGGGAGAAAACGGCTCCAGCGAAACGCCTAACATTTTAACCGCCCAGGCTTTCTACGGCTGAGTTATGGGCCCCAATGCTCACAAACCCCATGTGAAGTTAGAAATACTTCCTCTACATGCCAGGTAAGCCTTTTAAAGCATAATATAGTCTATTCAGTACAGATGCTGCACATTGCTTATCCATAATTGCAAGGAAACGTCCGCGTGCCAAAGCCACCGAAATGAACATCCTCGATGGAAAATACTGATTTATAGAGGCACGGCGCACGCCAGAGCAGGCACTGTCCCTTATGTCTGGGGAAAAACTGCGTCAACCTTACGACGCCCCGTGGCTATAAAACAAAGTATGTCGTCTCTACCGTCTGGACATCAGGCGCATTTCAATGAAGGACCGCGTGGCTCTACTTCGGCAGGCAGACCCGGCAAATCCACCGGCTTCACTGCCAGCCGGAAGGGCAGACCGGCTGACCGTCACACCGCCGTCCACTGGGCCGTGATACACTGACCACGGCTCAGTGGACGACGCGTCATTCGCATCGCGATAATTCGCCTCGAGCCAAATAAGCTTAGCGAACCGTTTCTGATGCGATTTAACGTACCAGAACATGCACGTATGCTTATACTATCCAAGATAACACATCTTGATCCGCCTTTCAAAAGGTTCAGCCCTTAACAGGTGGTAACAAGATAGTAACTGCTTGTGGCATTAATCGCAGGACAAGCGCTAATATCGGCACACTTCACCTAAGGCTAGCGGCTTCCGACCGGTTACAACTGGCCGGGCAGACCAGTGAATGCAGCCAGCATCACGCATGGGCCGTTGTAAATCTCTCGCGAGCTCCCAAATCCCCCATGAATTGGTTCGATCCCGCGGCTCGGCAATAAACACTCATCACTGGCGGAGAGGGTGGGGTGGGGGTGGGGCATGGAAAAAGGAGGTCCCGGTTCGGTCTGGGGCAACACGTGACTCCAGTGCGTCACGGGCCGGCCCCGATCCGGGCTGAGGCAACACCTGACTCCAGCCCGTCACGGGTCGGTCCCGATCCGGGCTGAGGCAACACCTGACTCCAGCCCGTCACGGGCCGGTCCCGATCCGGGCTGAGGCAACACGTGACTCCAGCCCGTCACGGACCGGTCCCGATCCGGGCTGAAGCAACACGTGACTCCAGCCCGTCACGGGGCGGCGTCACCGGGAGCGGGGCCGTGACGACGCGCCGGCCGTCAGGCGCTCGGGCCACTCCCAGTCCGCTGCCGCCGGCGGCGAGGGAGAGGCTCCCACCGTAACGGTGTGAGAAGCGGGAGGGGAGGGGCAGACCTTCACGACAGACATGGACGGGCAGATCTTCGTGCTGCACCGCAACGGGGAGATCTGCGGGCCGGCAACACGACCAGGGCCGGCCCGACTCCGGGATAACGGCCGTGAGATCCGATCCGAAAGATCAGGCGGCGGGCGTGACAAAAAGCGAGAAGGCAAGCAGGTGTGCCCGACCAACGGCTCAGCACACGGCGTCAGCGCTCTCGGGTACAGGCTACTTTATCAAACTATTGGTGTGCTATGGTGGCATATTGAAACCCGGCGCATACGTTTCACAAGCTATGCACGTCCGCATTGTTGGTGGAGAGGACGTGGACCACAATGCGCTTGGGCTGATGATGGACTGATCCGCGACCTGACACTGGGCCTGACCGCATGCCCATGGTACGTCGCTGAGCTGAGCGGACTCTTCGAGGTCTCCCGGTGGCCGACGTCCGGTGGTTACCGGATCAGTGGGCATCTCCAGACCACAACGAGGACATGACCCGCGCCCATGGGAGCAAAGGGTGCAGAGAGGGGGCGGGGGCTGTCTGGCACCGGGGCCACGTCTGGGAATTGCCAGATTTGCCGTCTGTGGCTGGGATTTCTGCCTGAGTCGGCCGTTGGCCTTGCCACCTGGTCAACGCAGGAAGAGGCGGACACCGCAGGCCAGCGCGGAATGTCGCCTTGACGGATCACGGCGGCTTTCTCAGTCCATCTCACTCGTAAACGAAAACAGACGTCATTGGTTACCCTGGACGTGGGATTTTCCGTGAAGCAGAGGTGCGGCCAAAGTTTTGGTAAAGGGAGAGGGGAGGAGGCGCAGAAGATGATGACATGCACAGAACGCGGTGCAAGATGACATGCACAAATCACAGAGCATGATGACAGAGCATGGTGACAAGATGACGATGAAAAGCTTCGGCTAAAAGTAAACAATAAAGCCCACTTCACTTCAAAAGTGGTCTTTTTCGATGCGTCGTTCATTCAGTTCCATCGTTGGGCGCGTTCGTTGAGGGGCCCGTGAATTGAATACTGAAGCCGCTCTCTCCCTTTCTCGCCAGGGGCTGAAGGGACCTTCCGTTCCAGCCCGGCCGCATTCTAGCTACCCGGGAGCCGGGCGCCCTGGTCGATCCGGAGGCCCTCAAAGGTCACGTCATACAGCAGTGCCCTCCTGACGCTGCATACCCTCTGACCCCCAACGGTTAGCCCCGGATCGACGCAGGGCTCCTCACTAACACAGGAGGATCCCTTTTCGACGCCGCAGGCACGATGATTGGCACAAGGACCCCACTTTGCCTTATCGAGTGATTGGCCGAAACTTGGCGGAGGGGCCTCGTTCGCTACCAGGGCCCTTCCATAATCTCACCGTGGACTCCTGTACTGCCATTTAGCGTGTTTCCTTTCATTTTCAGGGGCCCAACCAACGCAAAAGGCCCCTTAATATTCCGAGTCTCGACTCTATCCCTGCGTAACAAGTGTCTTCTGGCCGACTCAGGGCTCCTTGCTGACACAGAGTCCGCTGTTAGGTACTTTGGGCTACCTGACCAATACAGGAGGCCCCTCATTGTCTCAGTTACCCCGGGTAATGACAGAGATCTCCTGACGGATGGTCGGGAGCTTTAGTATTGTTCCTGCTTGGGAAATCGACTCCCAGGCCGACACGGGGCCGTCTGTTCGGTCTGGGGGATCACTGACCGACAGAGGAGGACATTACATCGTCCCAGAGGCTCCCGATCGACGCGAGAGGCCCTCTGTCATTCGAGTCCGGGTTCTGCGGGTCGAGATCTCTCAATACGATCTCCAGCCAGCCCTTATGGGCCCTCTGGGCACCCTAATTGGGGCCTAATTATTGGCCCGAAGAGCCCTTCTGACCACTCGGGACGAAAGAGAGGGAGAGAGACACGGGCACCCAGTGCTGCCCTGTATGCGCCCCAGCCTCGACGTAATGGAGCAAACGGAGCTCACTTTGTAACAAACACATGGAGGAAGAAGCACCGATACGCTAACCAGACGTGGAGTGTACATGCGTGCATATACAGTGTACGACTAAGTACGCTGTGCGCCGCGTACCTCGATCAGGTGTATCAGCACTTCACGCCCGACCGCCTCGTTTCCGTGAATGTTGCCGACGTACTTCACGTTGGGCTTGCCGATCATGTGCTCGAACGGGGAGGACGACACCACCAGGACCCAGAGGTCACGACCTGTGGGGATGTGGCCGCAGGGTGAGACCTGCTGCAGCCTGCGTCCGCCCCTGCGTGCATCCTACGCACCTGACTTCGCACTTGTGTGAAATTCGCACACCGGAGCGCCGGCACAAGGCGATGATATCACGCGCCCCTGGGATTGAGTAGCAGGCCAGCCAGCGCTGCCTTTGAAAGGTGTAAGGCCGCAGACGCGGGCATTACAACGGGCACGGTTGGCTATTTGCCGAAATATGCCGAACATCACAACATTTGACGGGTCGCTAAATTCAACGACCACCAACAATACAGATTCTAAAGAGCAAAGAAAATGTCTTGTTCATCCGAAGTATTTCGTTGTAAACTGTCCTAGTTAATCAGACCCTGCAAACGGCAATTCACAATGCACACAACGTAGCATTCGTGCAGCAATCCACGCACTCTGATGAGAACATGCCAGCGGTAGCAGCAGCGCGCCCAACCCTCGACGGGTCACCGGGGTCAGGAAACGGGGCACAAACGCACCTTGCCACGGACTTGCCGACCGAGTACAGGGCGGTGATCTCAGGGTACTCGGTCGAGATACGGCGCAAGTAGGCAGTCAGCTGCTCGTGGTCGTGGTAACTGAAGCCGACGGCGTCCGTCTCGCCGTCGGAGAACTGCGGGTCGTAGTCGGGCGGCGCGCGGCCGCCGGCCTGCCGGGCCTCGGCACTCGGGGGCAGCTCGGCGCCGCGCACCTGCTTGATCAGCATCACGTAGAAGTAGAGGAACGCCACCAGGAAGACGCACATGTACCACTTGGCCGTCCGCATGGCTGGTTGGCGTTGAGAGCCGCTGCCGGGAAGAGCAATCGCGCGTTACAAAACGTTTACACATAAGCACCAACAAGGTCGCGAGGATAGCGACCAATCACAAAATTACCCGACACGAAGGTCTGCACTCAAGGTCGACGATGTATGTCGAATCTCAAACATCAGTTATGCAATGTGGTCGACAATGAAGCTGGCGGGAAGTTGGGGAGCCACAAAGCCCGGCTGACTCCTTTCAGACGAGGCGCCAAACATGGCCGTGGGAAAAGTAGCACACACAGGGCGGACAAAGCCCACGTGAGGCAACAGTCGTCACGCGTCACAGTGTGTGACCGTCTCTCGTTACAGGCCTTTCAGCCCAGCGTCCTTCGCAGTCTGAGGCCCGCGGGTGGTGACGACAAGTGCAGCAACTTTTACTTTCCACTGCGTGACGCGGCGCTAGCCCGGGCGAACGGCGTGCCGCGGGACGCCCGGCTCTGAACGGATGGAGCTCCCCCGCTCGCCCAGGCCCTCTCTTGGTAACGTCGGCTGGGCACAGGTGACCTACCCACACGATCTCTATCAAAAAATTTGTGTCGGTCTCGGTATCGGCCTCCTGTGTATGTACCAACGGTTTCCGGTGAATGTACCGACGGTTTCCGGCGTATGTACCTACGGTTTCCGGCGTATGTACCTACGGTTTCCGAGACCGGTGGTCGCTTCGCTGGAAAACACCAACCGTCCCAAAAGCGTCATCATGGGGCCGCACTGTTACCACACGGCGAGTCACCCTCGGCAAGTCTCCTCGAGACGGTAGATCAAACACCGTAGGGGCGGCTTATTTGGGCTGCGTTTTCCCAGGTGATGCTCATGGGATTGACACCACTGGCACGTTTTCCTCGCCCGAACTCCACAGCCAGCAGCAGTCGCGGCCTTCCCACGGTTTTCCCCAGTCTTACAAGGCGGAAAGCAGCAGCAGTGAGCTGCCGGCCCCAACCGCGGGGTCGACTCGACATGCCCGCAAAACGGCTTACTTGGCTGCCAAGGAAGCCGCAGTCTAAACACGTTGTTTCCTACCGGAGCATTTTATGGGAAACTTGTTCAATTGACAGACGTTTCCGCCAGACACCTGTTGAGTGAAGAGCCGCATCCATCGCCGCAGCTCTCACTTTCCAGCTCCGGTTGTCAATTACATTTACCACCTTCGTTCGAAGTTGCAGTGCCGGCTGATTTCAAGTGGGTTTAAGTTTCCTCGAGCTCGTGGGATCTGACCAGCATTTGATTCCGGAGCGAATTCGTCTCGAAGCCTCTCAGTGGTTTTCACATTCTCGTCGACTTCCGGAAGTGTTTTCCGGCTGACCGTTCTCGAAAAACAGTGTACCGGAGCCGAGCGTTAGCCACCGCACCCTGACCATCGCACGGAGGAATGCCGAACTCGTGTC